AACCTTGGGTTGAAGGAGATCTAGGAGATGGAGATAAAGCCCGCAACCGCAAACCCAACTCCGGGCGAACAAGAATTGGTCCTGGTTGCATAAAAACAGGAGGCCCTTTCTTCTAACATCATCATGGGTTGGAAGATCAGCATGCTTGTCGTCATCCCATGGGGTGGGTGAACTGAAGCGCGAGTTGGCTTGATAGCGGATGACCCTGTACATATGTGGCTGGCAGGAACAACGTAGTTGTGGCGTAATGCCCAGAGCTGTAATTGGCGCCCGCACCACCGTAAATCATATTTTGTTGTTAATCATTCCTGTTCGACATGAAGGGATTAATATCACGATGATGTATGGGCTTTTTCTTTTCTGTCTGGTTGTCTGTATGTACGAGTATCCCCATGAAGCAGGTACTCAGCTCTGTTTCTCCTTTTCAAAATGGAGGTTACAATCGGTATCTATCTAATCCTGTGTTCCCTTTGACGGAGGTGCATGAGAGAGAGACTCAAGGCTGCCTGGCTGCTTGCTACATACGATAGAGATACCAGGCACACAGCCAGTCGATAGAGTGCGATAGGCAGCGCCCTCTCTATCTCAGCCGAAGCAGACGCAGACGCCACACAGGATTTATTCCCTTTCGGCCTGTGGAATAATCCAGAAATGCCTCTCACTGGCTGGTGACTTCCCAGAAACCCTGACGTCGCAAGATGCATCGCAGGAGTACCACAAATAGGATGAGGCTAAATGCATGTGGATCCCATCCAGTGGCCCTAGCTCTACTCGAGCTACTCTACCTACTCTAGGTAGGCCCCTCCTCGATCTTCCTCCACCTCCTCCACGAGGAGGGACCCTGGTTGTTTCCCAGATGAACATGGTCCATGCGCCCACCGCCGTCCACACGATGCAGTCTGCAGACCTGAGATATTTAGAAAACATCTAACAGTGCATGCTGACGTTTTTTTTTCTAATTTAGATTCATCGCCGTTTCTCTCGATTGCACCGAGGCCAAGATTCAAATCTCTCCCAAACAAAAAAACTTGCAACAATTCCTGGTCACTTCTAAAGTAGTGGGGATTAATCTTCCGAGGGCCCGTCTTGAATCCCAAAAACCAAATCTTGCCGCGGCCGTAGTTTACTAAACCTAATGCCCGTCAAGAAACAGCTGTTTAAAGCTTGTATCATACTTGTATGTATGTATATGTATGTATGGCTACTCCACGTGGATGGCATGTTGCACCGGTCGTGCTGTGCTGCTGCACAGGGATGCAAAAAACTACTTTGAATTCAGCACGCACAGGATATGTACGCAGGTTCCATGCATATGACTTTACAATAAGTAGGACCGCTCTCCGCCTCAAATTCTCAAGCCAGCCGGGCGGTGAAAAGCTTTGGGCACTGGTGATCTCGACAAAAAAGCATATCCACGGACATACATGTAGCTAGCGGTCGCGGCTTGATGCCGTGAGGCATTTTTTTGTTCAGGAGCAAGCAGCATGTCCACTGTACCTACATGAGTCCGCATTGGAAAGTTACACTGCCGAGAGCCATTTTGCAAATACTTCCTTTGGCTACAATAGCCCTTCAATACCCACATAATGTATAGGTGGTGTTTGAAAATCGGTGTAGAATCTAGTTTCAACGGTTCCGGGAGCAGGAATGGACCTGCATCCGGTCTGGGCGTTGACGGTGGATGATGCTTTAAAGTTTCATCTCGCTATCAAGGCTGGCCAGTTGCTAAAAAGGTCAATTTACTTGGATTTTTCTAATCTTGGACAACATTAGCATAGTGACTACATATGCGTTGGGAGTAGGTCTAAAACTTAACGCCTGGCAGATAGAAAGCAGCTGATTCTGTCGACCGCGGTCGAGTGTAGGCAGTAATATATTCAGTATCTCATGTGAATATATGTGATGCAAGTAGTATCGTACCCGCGCATAGCTAATTGCGTGATGCAGTGAATCCACATCTAGCATCTCCGATAAAGACGGCTTAAGAGTAAGATTAGAAGTCTAGGGATTTGAAAGTTACCGGAAGCTACTGAGCGCAAACTCTTGAACTCGGTCAAATATTTACAAGCCGGATTTGGGTTGGTCACCACAGACGGCACATAGACTTCATGGGAAGTTACATAAGGTGCTGGCGACTGTTAAATGCCTCACTAGAACCTTTTCTTCGATATTAGATTTACGAGACCGGTCAAAGGACCTGTCTGGAGGTACTCTGTCCTCGAGCCCGAGCTCATGACTACATGAACATCTCCTTAGAGAAGTCACTCGACTTCGCAGTAAGGATTGATGACGCATAAATGTAGAAAATCCGTGCAGAGCTGCCGTTATATATTGAACACTGCTTTAGTACTCAATAGCTATAGTAGTATAAATGGTATAATATTCCTCGCTGTGGCCAGGAAATCTTTTCGAATGGCCGGTTTTATATGTGGTATGGGTGGCCTAAGTATCCGTAGAAAACCAATCGATTCGTATCATAAGGAATCACTCAGTATTTCTAGGTATAGGCTAGCGCAGTGGCCACTCCTGCAGAAAACTCGGGTCGATAGACTCAGCTATAATACCGACTCTTTCGTACCCCTTGCCCTGCCATGAAGTAGTCGCACTCATTTGCAAGCAAGGATGTCCTCCTTGCTTGATCCTTCTAAAATGTACTTAGCAGATAAACAGTACAAACGCTATCTTGAAACAGTACTCTATTAAAGGCATCGTCGTTAGTATTCATTAATATTAGCAGGTGGCATGTGATGCCCATGCTCACAGGACACCGAACCCGCTTCACCCCCCACCCCCCCCCCCAAAAGCTCAAGCCCAGGCCTATATATTCATCTAAGCCAGATCATATCCTCGAGGCCTTTTTTTGGCGGCCAGTTTCTACGTAGAATCCACGTAAGAGTCTGTGCTGGGGAAGGAGAGGCGAGTGTTGCCTGTTCATTGGGTACGTTGGAGTGTAGTGTTAAAAACTTTAAACAGACCGGAACATTACGGGAGTAGAAAAAAGTTCGGTGATTGGCACAATACACCTAATCTTTTGGGATAATATATAAGGGGTAGTTGTTGGGCGGAATCAATAGTGCTTATCAGCGTTCTTTGGAGGAAGTATCGAAGGGGCTCACTGTGACTGTTTTATCCACAGCACTGTCATTTCTTTCTCTATCACCTTTTATCTCCCAGCCACGTTGCATCACTATACTTTAATCTTAACCGACTCTTTCATCACAAAACCTCTCAAAAACGGGTTGTCGCAAGGGCCAGGTAGGGAATTCCGGAAATATAGGTTAGAGTGAGGTCCCCAGTAGTGATATTACTCTATCGTTTTCCGCCCTTGATAATGGTGTCCAGCCGCATCTCTAGCCATTCTCGACCTTGATCCTCATAATTTCTCCCCGATAGAAACCATTCAACCCTCTCAGCTGCAGTACTTGAAGCTCTTCAGTATCCCCTACTCGGTTTGCCAACCGTAAGGCTTGCATGGTGTGACAGCCTTCACGGGGAGCTAAAAATACTACATTCGACTATTGATCGCCTTCTCATTGTAGAGTAAATAAATTAATATATAGGGGGAAAGCTTCGAAGGAATAATATTGACTCTCAGTATATTCACCAACAGTGTCTGATATCGTGCTAGTCTTCTGGGATCTGTATAGATATGTGAGAATTCGAAGCATTAATCAGCCAGCTTTCGGGGTTTGATATTGGTACTGAACGAATCAGAAGCTTAATGCATATAATGGATCATACCGGATACCCACGATATCGGAGCTGGAAGAATGATGACCGGTAGCACTCCGTATACATCATTTCATCATCTCTTCATTGTATTAAAATATGGCTATCATAAAGTACTTTCTTGGGCCATTCCCGCCTATGTCACTAAGGATATATACCGTTATTTATGGGAAATAACGGTAGCTTACCATGCTAGGATGAGTATTTATGATACGCTCAGGGGGTTATTACACCAGCAGCCACAGGAGTAGAGCCTACCCTCCACCAACGTCAACGTTGAAGCACATCTTCAACTTAAGATACTCCAATATGTACTGGCATGCTTCATTGTTGTAGCAAACGTCTTGTTCTGCCTCGAGATGACAACTTCGCCATGCAACTCGTGGTCAGCCCACTTCATGAGATATCACTCGGCGAATATGCGTTCCCTAGTCTCATGTCTATGCAGGCCTAAGCAGCCTTCATAGGTCGTTAAGGTAGAGCTGTTCGTCCTAGGGGTTAGATATGACTATCTATAGAAGAGTTGAGGTGGTGGAGGGCGGCTCAGTGAGTTGAAGGGTCGATGTCATGTGGCGGCTTGGCAGTCTTTTGCTAGTGCCGTCTCATTTGGAGCTACTCATCGCTGGACTCCCGTGTAACTTTGAGATTCGCAAAGTTGGTTAAAGAGTTCAAGAGGCTTAAGGCCGATGTCATACTCTAAACACCAATGTTTACAGACCACATAATTATTCTAGGCCATAAAGGAAAGGATGGTCACATTGGAAGCTCCGCAAACAGGGAGAGAGGTTTCAGATCACGGCGGAGCTATCTGATATGCCGGGGCGCACGGATGATCTACAAGCAAATACATATGCTACACTTAGACACCTCTACTAAACTATGCTCGTCCCCAATCCCCACTACCTTTGGTTGTTCCAGTGGTGCACAGCAACGGCGTGAGATGGACTGGGAACGAACCTGCTATTAGACGCGCCCTACGTCCACACAGATATTCATTTGTTGTCGATTGGCTAACAGATATGTTTGAGACATATATACATGTACTTTACCTGGAAGTTTTCTGGTACCTGTAAGGATGGCTGAAGAGGGAGGCTAGCCCCGCCATGCATCAAGGGTTCTTCTGGACATGGTAATGTTTTTCCATATGGAAAACTTCTAGTATGTCCTAGAATAGTGCTGCACAGATTTCTTGGAGACATTTTGCATAGCCCTTTATTGGGTGTTATACCTGGACTACAACCGGCCAAGGATCACCTGGGTGCCAAAGGTTTCTACCCACAAGCAGGCTCCTCTCCAACAGTCCCTCTCTCGGCCCTCTCTCCTCCATAAATGCCTCCGTCCAGGATAACATCCTCGTTATTCTTCAACTCGTCCTGTACCCTTCTCCAAGTCTTTGGAATGCCGCCGCCTATTTCCTTCCCTTTTCCCTTCCCGTCAGCGGCCGCCCTGTCATAGACAGGTTTGATCATTCCTTTCAGGAGTGGATTTCGCGCGTATTGGCCTGCCCTTTCCGTGCCTTTCCCTTTCCCTTTCCCCTTTGCCTCAAGTGCTTGCGCACCACCTCTCTCGAGTCTCTCATCGTATTCGCTCACTTCCTCCTCCTCTTCGCTACTCATCTCTGGAGGTGCGATATCTCGCATCTCCTTAACTATTTTTCTTCCCTTCAAGTCAATAGCGACCACTACTCGCCGTTTCTCATAGTCCTCCTTGGCATTCCAGTCCATCATCCGCATAATCTTCTGCTGCTTTTTCAGCTGCAATGCACGCTCCTGTGGATTCGCCCATGGGTTCAGCCCTGTCGATATTGGTGTTTCAAAGTCTGCTGCCTGATCAATGATCTTAGTTCTCTGGGCGTTGTTTGCCTGGAAACCTAACAGTCGGTCTCTATGCGCCATCGCCTTTTTGAGCCCATCTCCTTCATCGCCACTCGGTATTGGGCTTGAGTTTGTGGAGAATGGTTTTGGAGTTTTGGCAACTTCAGGACGCTTATTCCGTGCCGCATCTACCGCCATTCTCTCTTTTCCACGCTCGTCGCGGAGCGCGCGGACCATGGACTGGATGTCCTCGGAGCTTATGAGCGGAGTGTTACAGAATGTACATGGGCCAAGGCCCTCTTTGATGCAGATGACCTTTCCGCAGGAAAGACAATTGGGTGCGGCGGCAAAGACTTCGTGTTTTAGACCCATGCAGGAGCATTTTCGACGTTCTGTGGCAATTGTAGGGTTGGTTGACATCTCGAGGGTACGGAGGGCCGACTCGAGGTCATCAAGTTCTTTTGAAACACCACGCATAGATGTTCCACCTGTTACTACAACCTTTTGCTGCTGTGGCTTTGCCTTCTTTGTTTTTACGTTTTTGAGGTCGGATGTGAGTGTTCCGAGCGATTTAGATGAGCTCGGTGCATGCTGTGGCGCAGAGGGAGTAGGGTCCTGAGATTGGGCTCGTGAATTCTTATTGGAGCCAGTAAAATACTCCTCAAGGTCCTTCTTGATATAAACGCTGCTTGGATTCGTGAATTGGTCCTCCACCTGGCGGGGCGCCTGGGCAAACTTCCCAATTGGCGGTTTGCCCTTCTTTCCTTTCTTCTTTGATGTAGAGGAGCCATCGCCGCCCCATGGTTGTGAAGGGCCTGGTGCGGGTTGTGGTGCTTGGGGAAACAGGCGGGAGTTGAATTCGGAGATAAAGGATAATGATTCTGGGGCTTCGCCGAGGAGGTCCTGGTTTCGTTAGCTGTTGGCTTTCTAGTCGAGAAGAAGCGAGTATGAATGGTACTTTGAAGTGAGAGCCGACTCGTTCTGCAGATGGGAGAGACGCGGCATAGGTTATCACTTGAAGAAGGTCTTCTTCGGGGAGTGGTAGGAGAGGTTGAAGGCGGGGGAGCGCCCATGACTGGAGAGAGCTGGACATGATAAGACGGTGTAGGGTATGTATTGATTCGATTATTATTATCGCTATGAGAGAACCGAAACAATAGTGATAGCGGTATGAGGCTAGGCCTGGACCGATTGTTACTGAGGTAAGACGTTCGATATGTATGCCAAGACTTTGGAGTTGGCCTAATTGAAAGTGATGATATTGTTGATCTCTGGATAACAATCTTATTTTATTATAAAACAGAGATCTAGAGACCCAGTGAATAAGCTTGAAACTTATGCCAAACAGGGTAAAAAGAAAAATCTAGGGAAAATCGGGGAAAATATATAAGATGATTGTTAGGCATAAATCGAACAAGGGAAGGCATAATAATAGAAGCAAGATAATAAAAGTCTACCTGCATCTATACAGCTGTACAGAGCAGAAAGTAAATGAGTACATGTATTCGAATCAAAACATTCAAGGTTATAGGGTTATCTAGTGGCATGATAATGTATGTTGAGGCTCTGTGCCGAAGGCTTGGCTGCTGCAATCATAATCACACAGTGTCACTCGTTGGCTGCGGTCCTATCGAATCACTCGTACTTGATGAAAAATGGTATTTTGTGCACATAATACTATCGCTACGGTACGAAATACTACAGTATCGGAGCGGTACTGTAGCTCTAATTCCAACCCCGGAAACCGATGCGTACGTATACGCGTATGTGTACTACGCCAGTACATGCGTTCTTCTAGAAACCTTATGTTACTTCCCATGTTGGTTGAATCTCTGTACCCTGCTCCTTTTATGTAATGTGGTGTCCCCGGGCTACATGTAGCAAGAAGCTGATATTTTGAGTCTCCTCTGCATAACACTGCACATCCTCACCGTTATTAGGGAATACTACACTAAATGGTGTTCATCTCTTATCTCTATGGCAATCCACATTCGTCAAGGCAACTACCCACCCGCCCCTCCTCGTGTGATCTACAGGAGGGACAGATTGATTATTATTTCACCCCTTTTACTCTACACGAGAGGCTGAAAGGGATCGATAAACTGAGAATCGATCGGAGAAATTGTCAAACGGCCTTTAGAATCACGAAAATCACCGGGAAAATATAAGCCAAAAGAAGTCAATCATTTTCGTGTTTCCGCTAAATGGCATGCAGGAATACATGAAGTAACCCGGAAAGTCTCGAATATTTACAAGAGAAGAATACATCACGAACCCCAATAAAATCAAAACAGCCCCGGTATTCGAATATGAAGAATAAAAAAAAAGCCCAATGAGATCGTTATAACGAATCCCTCAAAGATACACCATCCAACAAAGGGAAAGAAAAATAAATCATAAATTAATCAGACCCGCCTACGCAATGTTGTTCATCATCTTGTAAGCAACAAGCGCAATCAATGCAGCACCGACACCAGACCCATCCTTAGCAACTCCGATCCTAATCTTCCTCTCACCTTCCTCTCCAACCTCTGGGATGTCTCGGAGAGCTTGTCGGAAGTGAACCTCGAAATCGGGGTAAAATTCGACTACACTGCCGTCGACACCGATATCAATAATATCGTCCTCCGAGATGGCCTTGTCAGCCTTCACAGGTGATTCGCCAATGGAAGCTGGGGGTGGCTCATCAACCAATGGTGCAACATCCGGTTTGCCGAGGACAGCTGTTACGATGGCGTTGATACCCTGCTCGATGAAAGAGAGATCTTTCGTAGACGAACTTTCGGCACTCTGGGTGTTTGGTTTAGGAGCGTTTCCAAGTTTGCCGGTTGCCAATACAATAGCAGCGATAGGAACAGCCGAAAGACGAGCAGAACGCTTTCCAATGGCATGTACTATTGTCTTGATTGCTTCAGCTTCCTCGACGGTGGTACCGTAAACACCCATCTCCTTCTGGATAGTCTCGCGAGTAACCAAATAATTTGGAGTTTCATCGGCCTCAATGTATGACAGGATCGAGGTATCAAGAGACCAGGGGGTGTAAAGAGCAGAATCTGTCTTGATAGTGGCCGTGGAGAATATATTGTGGCTCTCCTTCAAGGCCAAGACTGCGTTTCTGAGAATCTCACCCAAGAACATACCGGAAACACGCTTCTCAAACATCTGGATACCAGGGTTGACGCTGTTCTTATCAAGAGCACGGTCATAGGGGGTATCTGGGAGAACCTTCATGGCATTGTCGAAGCTACCCCACTCGGTGTTGACGACCATTTCACCGGTCGATTTATCATACTCTCCTACATTGGCGCCAGGCTTGGTCATCTTTGTTATCCGACTCAGCTTCTCGACGTAGGCCCCATTGGTACCAGTGCCGAAGATAGCACCCAATAATGTTCCAGTCTTTCCGGGGGAGGTGTATGAGCGCGCCATCAAAGTTCCTACGGTATCATTGACCAAAGCAGCAACGACAACAGGCAGACCGAGAATGTCGATTTCTGCCTGGAGAAGACCACAAACATCCTTTCCAATAGCATCAGGAATATCAAAGCCCTTGGTCCAACGGATCAGGTATCCTTTGTTGACAGCTTTCTGATCAACGGGGAATGAGAATGTGAACCCGAGATGGAGATGGTGGGTAGCATCCTCAGCGAAGTGGTCCGAATGATGCTCTTGAACAAACTCGGCAATGTTCTTTGCGAGGAAAGAGAAGAGCGATTTGGAGTCAGAGACCATCAAAGCCTTAGGAATGGCAACCTTCGATTGCTGGATGCTGAAAGTTGTGTCACCCTTCAAAGTGATAGAACAAACACGGAAATTGGTACCGCCAAGGTCAACAGCAAGGTACACACCCTAGAGAAATAGTTAGAAACGGCGATAAAGAGATTGTGTTTGCTAAAAATATGGAATTGTTACCTCTTCTGTGCCATTTGGAACTTTAGTAACGTACGTCGGGATCATTGTCATAGCTTCGCCATCGTTGCTCAATCCAACGTCTTTTCCAAAACAATTGAGTTAGTTTAACACTGTCATAGATCATTTTGGAGCTTACCCATCAACCGGAGAAACTCCTTGACACCCGCCCTAGCTTGCTCTGGAGTATACTCAAACTCCGCGGCAATAGACTTTGCCTTCTCAATCAACGTCATATTTCCTCCCATGTGGCTGTTTTCTACAGAAGAAGTTTCAAGCTCGTGGACAAATGTCTGGCGGGGGATGTCTGGATATATCTCAGGATCCAGATCGTTCTGATAATTCTTCTGAGGTCCGCAAATTGCAAATCCCGATATGTTCTCTGGGGCGGTTTCTGGAGTTGAGGAGGCTGCCGAGGTACTTTTACTTCCAAATATCTCTTGGGGAACAAGTCGTGTGGGGGTAGGTTTGAGCCCCGAGGTGGGACGGGGAAGAACGTCTATAAAAGGTTTGTGGAAGAACTGGAGCCCTAAAGCGATAAGAAGAAGGGCTAATGATAGCAGTCGCAGGCTGGGGAGAGATGTGGGGAAATATATGGAAGGTGAGACGGTGGCTGGGAAGGGTGTCACTCTTAAATTGTCCTTGATTTTAGGATTTGAACTTGGCGAACAATGAGGGGTAGAGACAGAGTTAATCGCGTTGCTTGTGATTTTGTGCGAGGAGGTATGAGGTAAGTGAGGGGCGCTACGGAGCCGGGCTGGGGATCCAGCAGCGTTGGGCGTGGGAAGACCCGTCATCGGCGGGGTCCCTAACGCTTGCTCCTAGAACCTGGCTCTACGAGGGATTTTCAGACAAGCCGGGAATAGGTACTGTGGGCAAAGATTAAAACAAGGTCGTGCCGGAAGATTTGCGAGTGGGCCGGAAGAACAACAATTGAAGCCGGGAAGTATTGTACTAGGGGGCAACGGCCGTTGGGACGCGCGCGACGGGGGTATCAGTTTCGATCTGAAGATTTAATTGACCGGGGGCGAACTTTGCTTTTGGATATTTCGATTTTACCTACTGTTCGCTACTGTGCAGAGGTTGTTGAGATGTGATGGGATGAGGGAGGACTAGATTGAGGTGTGGTACACCGTACCGATAGGAGAGGATTCGGTGCCATGCCATGCAAGGGCAGGGATCTAATATCACGGTTTTCTCTTTGATATGTTTTACTACGGAACAGGCGCGGAAACTCGGAAAATCTCTATGGTTTGGGGAAGTTTACTAGCTTTGCCATTATTTATTGTTCCTGCAGAAAAATGACCTGGGTATTTGCTTTATCTCTAATACCCCTCATCTGTGTGATCTTTAACGACATTCCGGCTATGCAGGGCAAATAATTGATTTTTTTTCACTGCTATTATGGTGTTTTGCTTTTCGAAGCAGCAGCGCCTTTTCACTGAATGTTTACCCATAACAAAGGTGCCAAGGGCTCGACAGGGACAGGTCTAGAGTTGGATTTTCCGGATTTCCCGGATCATCCGGTAGGGATTCACTTGTACAAAGTCGGAACTTCACGGGGGATAGTTTCGCGGAGAATTTATTTATTACGACATCACGAGGGACATGACACGGATTAACTTTTATGGAGTTAAAAGGCGAGCGCGGCGCTCATTTTCTCCAGGTTTACCTTGATAGAGACTAACACAAGATGAGGTTCATCTCCTGACACAACCCCGGGGAAGACAACGCTACTACTGTGCTGGGTATGGTTGCAATGTTTTCACGGTATTAGTGGGGATATTAGTGGGGTTGGTGATGGTTAGACCGGTGTTCTTTCCTAGTGGACACGTATTTCAACCGCAATGGAACAATTGACCCAGGCCCTCACTTGTTAGAAAACAGTGTGGTTTTTGGCGTTCGACGACATGTAACATGATTGCAATCGCGGCATCCTCACTGACATGTCTCATGATAGTCCGTTTACTATTCAGAGATGGATTACCCTCTGTACCTTCTGGCGGCGAAATACTAAAAATGTCACGCAATCATTGAAGTCACAGACTCCTCTCTTTCGCCGCCGCCTTCGACTGAATGCCTAACACCCTTTCCAGATGCGCAGCTGACGGCTTTTAGCTACCAGTAATGTCATACGAGGTCTTATATTCAAGTCGATATATTATACTTTCTTCTAGACTCCGTTCATAGCTGACGTCAATGTCACCGATTACCAGTTCTTATAGCAATATAGCATTCCCAGGAACACACCACGAGCAGGGGGATAGCAGTTTGGCGGGAAAGGCGTCTCGAAAGCCTCGTCAAACCACATGGCAGTGCATAAATACAACTTTCTAACTGAAGCTGGAGCTCAAGTCTTTACGCTAAGGTCGGAAGCATGTTGTAAGTCGATGAAGGCTCGAGGAGCAGGTGCTTGTCTGGTGATGGACAAGGGTTTATGTCCATTAGGGGTATTCAGATGTCGTGGGCTTGGAACTTTTGTGCACAAGTGCATACACGAGTGACGAGTTGAGCGACTCTTTATGAGTGTCACTCGTATTATCAATTCGGATCACCACGTATCAGGTGATCAAGTCTATTACAGAGGTGTAACTTGTCACGCAATATTTTTGAGCTCGGGAAACCTCAGGAAGCAATGAAGCTCTCCCACGACTGAATCTCACAGATAAATAACAGCCTGTTTGGGGGTAGGAGCAAAAGAAAAAGTGCTGAGGGTTTGAGAGAATGGCACTATCGGCTTTTCTAGCAATATTTCTTTGGATTGCTCCCCCTGTTTGAAGCTAAGCTAAGCCTAGAAATGAAGAATAAGAGAGGCATTGAGAACTTCTTTCAGGTAGAAAATTTTACTTCAAGCTTGCCTCAAGCTTGTAAATGCATTAATGACTGATAGAAACAAAGAAAGGACAGCCCCCGTGACCTTAATTTGAAATCAACAAAAAAACTAGGCGTAGAGAGTATGTTATACCAAGCTTTGAACTCAACCATAGAGGCTTTCTCTGTGGACATTGGGACTCACGATTAGTTTGGTCGACTGGTGTAACTGTAATTGGGAGTCGTAAAAACGTCTGCATAGCCAGATTATTGTTCCGCCGAGCTGCATAATTAATTAGGTCAAGATCTCCCTGGACTTTAGGGAACTTTGGTTAGAGCCTAGACTAATCTTCGGACCCTCTATTTAATCAATTGGAAGCTGTAGAGTAGTTGTGTACTGGAGAGGCTTTGGTGTGTTGCACGTAAATCCCCAATAGATAGAGAGTTAGTAGATTAGATAAGATGCTTCCTCTGCTTCTGGATTGATTATCATGCGATTAACCAGTCGCCAGGGAAGCAGCACGTGCACCAGATCTTGGGTTCCAAACCCTAACCCTGGGAATTTGGGTGGATGAATGAATAGGCAGTCACGAGCTCAGGGAGAGCTGTGTGGCATTGTATCATCGAGCATGAAGGTGCCCTACTCTCCCAATATATAGACGGAGCTGTTCAGTTGGTGCTTGGTGTATTGCGCGAAGCTCTGGGGCTGCTGCCTGTGCTACCAACGGAGGACAGGGGACGTCAAAAGCACCCAGAGTCCCAGATCAGAGCAGGCCCTGAAGATCACAGCTGGGCGGGCTGCTCGGTTGTTTGGCTTCCGTAACATGTCGCCATTTTCGGATGCAAGCGGTCCCTGATACGCATACTGTATGGCTGGACGGGGGAGGGGAAACGGGGGACGGGGAATTTAAAGGCGGGGCGCAGATCGGCGCACGGGAGAGAGAGAGAGAAGCTATGGGTGCTAAATAAAGCACAGGCACAGAAGCTTTGGATAAAGGGCACAGGGGGATCCGGAGCTAGAACTCTCGAGCAGATATTCGGATGAAGGCACAGGTAAAATGCGATAATGATGATGATGAGAGAGAGAGCTCTCTCCAAGCAAATGCCATGAATAGCCTTCAGATAATTTCAATGCACTCAGCCCCGCATCTTTAAAGCTCTTTTTGCTGGAAGAACCCTAAACCTGGATTTCCATAAAGCCCATCCCTTCGCGTGTCCTTTTCCGAGCTCCCTCTTCTCGACAACGACGTCTGCTTGACCCGACACACAAAAACATACGTCAAACATCCAAGAACAAACATCGTCACAACCACAACCACAACCACAACCACCATCACAACGACTATTGTATAAATTGTTTAAAAATAATGGATAATCCCCCCGCTGCTCAAGAGAGCGACACCTCACTTGTGGCTCGAGTCATCGCAGCTATCTTGTTTAACGGCCCTACAGTCATCCCGTTCATCCCAACCTATCTTCATCTCATCGTTGCCGCCGTGCTGCCCATCTGCACCGGTGCCCATGCTTCCCTCAAACGCCCCGCAAACACACTCTCTCCTGCTCAGGTTCGCAAGTCTCGTAACGGACAGGAAACCGATGACGACCTTCTCGAAGACGATGAGGACGAGGATGACGAGGCCTCGGCATCGCCCATCGAAAACCTGACTGCCACGGATGCTTTGATGTTTCCGGTCACCGCTGGTGTTGTTCTCGGGGGTCTCTTCCTTATCATCAAGTTTTTGAACGACCCCAGTATCCTCTCGCGTATCATGACATGGTACTTTTCGGTCATGGGTGTATTTGCTGTTGGGAAGACTACTTCGGATCTCTTGAGCATTTCCATCTCATACGTCTTTCCCGGGCGCTTCCGCTCGGCTGATGGCAAGATTTATGTTGCGGGATACAGCTCGTACAAGGCCAAGGATAGTGACTCCAAGAAGGAGAATCCGTGCGGAAGACTGTGCTTTTTGCCCAAGAGCCTCTGGGGACCAACCTGGGCACTGAGGCGCACACTTGGAATGAGATGGTGTCTGGTTATTAAGTCAAAAGGCTGGAGCCAAAATATCAAGAAAAGATTTTGGGTTGGCGATCTGGTTGGCTTGGTGTCAGGCTTGATGGTCGTCGGGGCTTATGCTCTTGGAGGAAAGCATTGGACCTTATCTAATATTATGGGAGTTTCATTTTCTTATGGAGCTGTGCAGGTACGTTTTGAACCAAGCTTTTCATGAATAGTTCGCCCCAAACTTTACTAATATCCTTTGTCGCAGTTGATTTCACCTACTACCTTCCAGACAGCCAGTATCCTCCTCGGAGCCCTTTTCTTCTACGATATTTTCTTCGTTTTCTACACGCCACTCATGGTTACAGTCGCTACAAACTTGGATGTCCCCATCAAGCTACTGTTCCCGCGCCCCGGAGTAACCAAGGATGGAAAAGCAGCGTTGGCCATGCTTGGCCTTGGTGATATCGTAATTCCAGGGCTTGTAGTTGCTATGGCTCTTCGTTGGGATCTTTGGAGGTTCTATGAATCTAAGCGTAGAGCAAACTTGGAACGGATGGAGAAGTCGGCCGTGGATGAGATTGCAGACAGTGACGGACACGACATCAAGCGTAGAAAAACCATGAGCGAGGAGGAACTTGTTCTTTTGACGAAGCCACGATACGTTAAAGTTACTGGTATCTTCGGGGAGCGTTCCTGGGGCGGTGTTGAGGGCACTGCATTTGGCAAAGAGTACTTCTGGTCCAGCATCTATGGATATATTGCGGGCATGATTGCAACGTTGATGGTAATGCACGTTTTCAAGCATGCGCAGCCAGCATTGCTATACCTCGTACCTGGTGTGTTGGGTTCTATCTGGGGAACCGCCGCATATAGAGGAGAACTCGGTCTCATGTGGCACTACACTGAAGAGGGCGATCCATTGCCCGAAACCACAGTACCAGAGAAGAAGAAAGCGGACGAGAATCCATTCGAAGAGAAGAAACCTTTTGAAGCCAAAGAGGAAACGACTGACGATAATGAGCATGATGATGATAAATCCACCAAATCCACCAAGTCCTCCAGGTCCTCTCAGTCTACCAAGTGTGAAGACGCGCCAAAACAGGAGAAGGAGGAGGAGGAGGATGAAGAGGAGGAGTGGATCAGTGTCTCGGTGACCAAGAAGCCTGCTGTCGGCGCTAGACGTAGAAAGGTGAAAGGAAAGGGCATGGAAGTCCCAGCTTCAATAGCTGACGAGTTGGAATTGTTGAGCTCGTCAAGTACCACTTCCTCGGCCGAGGCCGAGGCTGAAGCTTAGTGCATATAATATGCACTTTGGACTCAGCTATTTGGCCGAGATTGAGCCTGGAAAGTTCATTGGCCATTAGTTGCTCCTTTGTTGCCTCTTTTCTTATCGTCTCTTTGCTTTTAAATGTATCTTATTAGGGTGGTCTTGTCATTGCTTCTCAGAGATGGATGGGACAGGCGTTTGAACTGGTAAATTGAATTTCACTACTTGCTTGAGAGGGTATCCTCCGGAATGTCCTTGCATATATCGAATGAACATATGACTTTGGCTGTAATCCTTGTGCCTTCTGTGAGCATATCTCTCACCTGCGCAGCTGCAGCTGCAGGGAGGGGTATAGCAGTTCTCGATCTCCATTGTATTCTCCATGTCCCCTATCGTTGGCATTTGGTTTTCCCAGTCACCTCACGCCGCCCATACAGTGCAGACCACGCACCCACGTGTGTGTGCATGGTGTTGATGTACCCAATATCCAGACTCCAGAGCCCACAGGATAAAATCACCCCAGGGCCCAAGACCGCCCTGGATACATTGAACCATTGTAAGCAGCCCGGGCAGCCCCCTCCCGCATTCTGACTTCTCAGCCTCAATTGTACCCCGCTTGACAACAACGACCCCGCAATTTAACAAACAAATATGGATTCCCCAGGAAACAATGTCGAGTTTATATGTGTCTGTACTTACCCGCTGATATCTGGTTATTAACAGCCGCTCTCTCTAGCTCCAGGTCAATGCCAGACGGGCTGAACTGATTCTACGTGTGGACGAGCACGGGCATAGTAGTTACATACCTTTTCTACGCCGTCTACCTCCACAACCTCCGTGATATCAGATATACCCTCCCACACGGCCTCTAGTCACTCTCTCTACCCAATTACACGAATAACTACACACCACACTCTCACCTACGTACCCCTCAAACTACCTAGGAAAATGGCCCAGCAGGCCAGCACCTCCCACACCCCCAACGAACACATCGTCCTCCGGCCCCCCACATCCCAAAACATCGCCTCCCTCCGCCGCCTCAACAGCCTGCTCCTGCCCATAAACTACCCAAAGTCCTTCTACAACGACATCCTCGCCTCCCCGACCACAACACGCCTCACCCGCCTCGCCGTCTGGCTGCACAGCGTCCCCCCCGCTGACCCCCCGCCCACAGACGGCGGCGGCGGCGGCGACGGCGACCCGGAGGCCCAGCAGCAGCAGCAGGAAGACCCGGGCGTCACTGTCGGCGGTGTGCGCTGCCGTCTTGAGCTTCCTCCTCCTCCTCCGCCGCCGCCGCCGCAAGAGGTGGTGGAGGGGGAGGCGGACGGGGAGGGGGCAGGCGGCGAGGAGCAGATACAGACGGGGGGTGCGATATATATCATGACGCTGTGCACGCTGTCGCCGTACCGGCATCTGGGCGTGGGCACGCGGCTGGTGGCGAGTGTGCTGCGGGCGGCGGTGGAGCTGGGGTGTAAGGAGGTGTATGCGCATGTGTGGGAGGCGAACACGGAGGCGCTGGAGTGGTATCGCAGGAGGGGCTTTGATGTGGACACGGGGGAGGTGGTGAAGGGGTATTATAGTAAGTTGAGGCCGGCGGGGGCGAGGGTTGTGAGGAGGCGGATTGGGGTGGGGGATGCGATTGCGTTTGCGGCGAAGGTGGACGGGGACGGGGAGGGGGAGGGGGAGGGGGAGGGGGAGGGGGAGGGGCTGGGAGGGTTGGAGGGGTTGGAGGGGTGAGTATTGGGGGTGAGATAGAGTTTTCGGTTTTTTTTTTTTCTTTTGTCCCTCTCTTTCTAGATATCGCCTTTTTGATGCGGTTTTATAGGGTTTTATAGGGTTACTTTACTTTTTGCTGTAGTAGCTGGCTGGCTGGGTTTGGATACATATAGCAAGCTGCGTTTAGCGGAGGCGTGGATACCTCTCACTTTCTTGTACAATAGTTTCAATTCAATAATGAAATCATCATGCCTCTGAATTGCAATTAATTAATTGAAGATGCTATTACCACGCCAGCTGCAGAGGGAGCACAGAGAACCACAAAGCACACACCCCAGGCCGTGTGACCGCAACATGTAACATACAGGTAGCCTTGTGCCTGCACGGCGAGCACGCACACCCGCCCACGGCCACTGCCTACGCAGGCAGCCATCGTCATCATTGGCCCACGGTCAATCATCATACGTCCGATCACACCGGCCGAGTGATGGCCCATGACGCCACTCCTGCCCAATGAGCACCCGATGTTTCCACGGGCTGCAGAATCGCACGGTCATCAATTGCCCCGCGCGCGCCCTCCCCCCCCAAAACACCGGGGGGGCTGCACCACGGAGGGGACTTTAGCCAGAGCACATACTCTACGTTCTCTCCCGCCCACACGCCCTGATCCTACAGATAGTTACAGAGACTCTGCAATTAGATATATCATACTAACCACCAGAACTCACACTAGACGCAGCTTTCCCTTATCAAGATCGCCGGCGCCGATCTTACATAAGCATAATTTCGTCGGAGGCTCGTTCATTTCCAGGAGTCTTTCTGTCTTCTCGTCTCCATCTCCATCGATATCTCGAACGCTCACTCGGTCTCTCTCTCTCTCTGCTCTCGCTCGTCTTAATTCCCCTTCCCCCCCTCTCCCCCCCTCTCTCTCTCTCCAGCTTCCCCCCGACCGCTGCAGCTGGGCCCCCTCTGCTCCAGCTCCACACGCACACACACGCGCCCGGCCATCGCTCCCGTAATACATGCACTCGGCATCGCACCCCGGGGGCTCTCAGTGAGCAGCTATCGGCGCACGCAGAACCGTTCCGGCTGAAGACCCGCGTTGTCACGTGCGCGCGAGCTCTGGCATCTGTGCTCAGCGCCACGGAGCAGGACGAACAGGACAGCACAGGCATTAAGAAACAACACCAACTTCTCGACATCTCGACATCGTGAAGAGAAAGACACAGAAGAAGAAGAAGAAGAAGAAGAAGAAGAAGAAGAAGAACATCATCGACAGCTTCGACACACGCAGGCAGACGCCCTCTCGCCGTAATGGCTTCCTCAAGCCCGTCTGGCTCCAGCGGCGATGACTCTGACATGAACAGCGTCTCCCCCAATTCCCTCGCCGGCCTGGTGGGAGCCCTCTCTCTCCTCCCCCTTCTCTGCCCCCACCCCCTCTCCCCTCTATCTCTCTGTCCGCCCCCTCCTCACCCCGTGCGCAGATACTAACGCTGCCCCCGCCTGATCCAGTCTCTCTCGATATTCTCCGACCTTCTCGCAAACATCACGCACGACATTGCCCTGCAATCCCACCGCTCCGAGAAGCTCCTCCGCACGAAGCAGCAGCACCTGCTCCCGCCCACCACCGACGGCTCCCCGCCGCCCGCCGCAACGGCAAACCCGCTCGCGGTCGTCCCGGCAGAGATCATCTGCTCGCGCTGCCACCTGCCGCAGCACACCGCGCACACGCTCGAGACCACCACCGCCGCCGCGCAAAAGAAAAAGTTCTGCCCGCGCCTCCCCTTCCAGGACGCGCCCTTCCACGACATCTACGGGAACCCCTTCCCCACCGTCAAGGAGACCGCCGCCAACAAGAAGGGCGACAGCAACAAGTCGGCCGACTCGCCCGCCGAGGATGGCGCCGCTGCGATCGCCATCGCGCCCGGAAATGGAAAGAAGGGCGCTGCGGTCTACTTCAAGTGCCCCTGCTGCGACAAGGAGAAGGTGCCGCCGAGCCACTTTGCAAAGCATCTCGAAAAGTGCCTGGGCCTTGGCCGCAAGAGCTCCCGCGCGGCAATGGCGAAGATGAATAACAGCAACTCGGGAAGCGGCGCCGGGAGCCCCATGCTTAGCGCCGCGGACGCCACCGCTCAGGGCAGCAAGACGGCGAGTCGCAAGGCTAGCCCAGAGAAGAAGAGTAAGAGCCCCGTCCCGCTCGAGGAGGTGGCGGTCCCACCACCGGCGACGCCGGTGCTCCCGCCGAAACCGATCTTTGCGACGTCGGTGACGGAGATGGCCAGCGGCGGCGGCGTGCCCACGCCAAAGAAGAAAAAGAAGAAGGTTACTGCTGCTGCTGCTGCTGCCGCGGCGGCGGCAGCTTTAAAGGCGGGATCGGTGCCGCCGGAAGAGGATAAGGGGTTGTTGGCGATGCCGGAGACGCCCACGAAGCCGATTGATGTGCCATCATTGACGCCGCTACCACCACCAATACTGGCGAAGGAGCCGACGACGCAGAAGAAGCGGAAGCGGAAGGCGGAGACTTTAGCCGCGGCGGCAGAGGCGGCGGCTGCAGCGACGGCGGCTGCGGGCGGGGAGGAGAGTAGGGATGCTATCACGGTGTCGCTGCCCGTGTCCGTGCCGAAGGCGCCGCCGCTGAAGAAGCAGAAGCTGGCGCTGGGAGGGGAGAAGCCGACGGGATTGGACAGCCCGAAGAAGAGCCAGCTGAGCAAGTTCAAGAACCGCGCGAATAGTCCGAGTCCTGGTGGGGCGAGCAGTAAGAAGGGAGAGACAATTAGGGTATGCTATATAGCTTTTTTCTTTCTGGTTGTTGTATCGTACTAACAGCTACATAGAAATCCTCACCCGCACCCCACGCATCGCCGCCAACAACACACAAGTCGCTCCCTCCAAAACCGCCCACACCACTCACAGGCCCGCTCTCCGCACCCCCCATGGTCACCTCCTCGTCGAGCCAGGGCGCAACACCAAAGCAGCGGAAACCAAAACTCGGAATGGGCGGATCGGGTAAGAAAGCCGCCGCGGCCGCAGCAGCAGCAGCAGCAGCAGCCGCAAACTCAACCGCTCCCACAACAGCTACCGGTGACGGTGGTGGCAGCGTGGTGAAAAAGGTCACAAAGCCCAAGATTAAGAAGGTGGTGGGCGTGGCGGGGAAGACGGTGCCGGTGCCTAGGGTTGCGGGGAAGACGGTGCCTGTGCCGGGTGTTGCGAGGAAGGGGCCGAAGGAGTAGAGGATGTAGTTGGTAAAAGAATGCCGATGGGGCTTTTGTTTTTTGTTTTGCACTTTTGTGTTTTGGTTATCATCCGTCTAGTTTTCCCTTTTCTTTTCTTTTCTTCGTTTTCTCTTCTGGCATGGGTATTATCATTGTTGTGTGCGTTTTTTTGACCGGTTTTCTTTTCTCTCTTTTCTTTGGGGCCTATTCGTTTTTTTATTAACCTTTTTTTCTCTCTTCTGTCATTCGCCATTTTTATCTCTTTTTTGTACAAAACCAAACTGGCGGCGGAGTCATCATCATCTTGTATTGGACTGTATTCGGATTTTTCTTCCTCTTCTTTTGTGCGCGTGCGTCTTTTTACCTTTTGCATCTTATGCGTTTTTTTTTTTTTTTTTTTTTTTTTGCGGTTTGTGTTCCATGACCCTTTTTCGGTTTTTGGTTCGTTTGGTTTTGAAAAAACTTTCAGTAGCGGTTCTTTTTTTTTTCTCTTATTCTTTTTTTTTTCTGTCGTGTTATTATTCTTAGGACTAGAAGAGAGTGATATTGTCACGTATGGACACCCCTACCCCCCTACCCCCTACACACACACACACACACACACACACACGCACGCCCTTTTTTTATTTTTATGTAAAGTAAAGAAATTACTACATACAACGGGTACTGGTGTTCGTTGGCGTGAAGTTGACTGTCAGTTGGCACTATACGAGTGATATACTATGATCCGGGTTAATTGAGCTTGGATGCCCCCGGCGCCCTGCGGGCATCTTGCATGGCCGTGGAAGAGGCTTGGGGGAGTGGGGAGTGGTGGAGGGGTGGAAGAGAGTGGTAGCTATAGCTTGTAGTGGGAGGGGGATAAAAATACTGCTTTTACTGGGAGGACCACCGGCTGGGTACCGTATGAAATTTATCAAATGGTATGATCTATAAAGAATTGAATGGGGGGGGGTTTGCTGCAGACGCGAAGGATGACTGGCAAGAGGCCTACTAAACTCAATTAGGGTTGCTGTTCTTGCACTACCACGCGGAGAAAAGACACAGACGGGCGCGTCTTCTTCGCCAGTCCGAACAAAACCCTCAGTTAAAAAAAAAAAGAAAAAAAAGAAAAGAAAAAAAAGGGAACGTGAGTATTACCAGAAATGATTCACTTGGTATGATGTAGATAAAAAGAACAAAAGGTTGCATTGATGGTCGCCGCCATATCTACAACCCCCACCCCTGGATTGAACCATGGACCTTCTACAGGACCTGGCACAACCTCTCGGTGTATCCGGAAGGCGAGTGTTAACCGGTTGGCCACTCGCCCATGTGTGTTGTGGGTGGGAAATGGTATTTGAACGCAACGGCTGATTGCAGGTAACTAATACTATTCCTATTAGGTGAGCTGTGATGCCGGCCATTGGGTTTAGACTTTTTATTGCGGGTAGAAAATAGGCAAGTAATAAAAATGAAAAAGTTCTCTACGTTACAAAAGAGCAGGGCATAAATAAACTTAACCATAGTAGTTTTATCACACCTAACCCTGGATTTCACCCACCTAAACGTTCAAAGGCAGGACTGGGCTGAGTGATGGCGGGCTCAAGGATAGAAGTGACTCCAATATAACTCTTTAGTTACTGGATGGGGTAGCTGCTTCATTTTTTCGATTCTCTCCATGGCCTCGATTTTGCGTCTTTCTCGATTTTACGGAACGAATTTGCACGAGTTTCGAATGGACGAGGAGTATAGCGGTGGCAGATACAGAACGTGGGTCGTATTCGTGTGCTTTCTCCTACCAAGACGTCCCGCTAGATTGAGCAAAGGTGTGGAATACCCTGTGGAGAAAGCTGAGGGGGCAAGCCTATAGCAATGTTGGTCACAAAGGGTACTAAGCTGTTGAACTACCCCCAAATCTACGAGCTAGCTGATGAAGAAGATTGCAGTACATTGATAGGGTAGCGTACTGGATTCATCGAGTCAATTGGATCATCAGGGCCACAATCATAAACAATCACTCGAGAATGATAGGGTTAGGGTTCTTCAACTCGCAATTCAAGAAAACCAAAATGATTCCATTGACAGCTTCTACTTCCCAGAGACCTTTACCAGACTATATGTGAGCTTTGAAATTCCACCATTTGAGCCCATTAATATCCTGAAAGAGCTCCAGCATTCGTGGGTCGTGTTAAGCTCCCTGTATCCTATCTCGCGCTTGGTTGGGACTTTCGCGGATGGAGCAGCGCAAACCTACATCTATAATGTGATTATTACTTTTGTTTCTTTCCCTAGATATCTACATGTGCCCTACCTGACCCTTACCCTAGTATCTGTCTTGGCAGGTAGTCACTATAAATTTAAAAGATCCCTTTCCCCCGCCGCACTTTCTTTCCTGTCGAAGCTACGCCCCGCCTTCTCCACCACCATAGGCGTCCTTTTCTCCTCTCCCTTGCCTCTCGCCCATTGAAAGCTCCATAACCACCACAGTTCACGGCCGCCCGGACCCAGGATTGAGGGACGAGGCCCCAGTTTCCTTTTTGTTTTTCCTGCTGCTGGGCGGGGGGCATGCTCCGGTCTTGCTTTGGTGGAGTAAAGACTCTACCATCAATATCCCAGCAGCCTTCCACCCTCCTCCAAGCCCTCTGTTCCTATTCCAAGAGATATTTGGAATGGGAACATGGCTTTCCAAGCTACGGTTGGGCGGGTTTTCGTAGGGTTAGGGTTTCTTAACCTTAATCAATTTTTCCTTATATGTATAACAAATTTATTTCAAGATAATTAACTTTTTTTATATGTATATAATAAATCTTTATTAGTGATAAAAATCAATAAGCTATTTTTGGATTGTTTTTCTTGTTAGTTAATCATTGGCGTTACCCTGAACAGCGGGGATACCCAATGACCTCTCTTTCTCCGAGCCCCATTACGACATTATCACTCGTTACGAAAAAAACAGCTTCAATGTCTACTCACCGCCTTCCAGAGTCTTCCGACTTCCCCTCAGGCCTCGCCTACACGCTTAAAACTCCTGCCAGAGCTGCGCAGAACATCCTCATCCTCTTCCACGGCCTCGGCGATACCCATGAGCCCTTTGCAGCTCTAGGCACGAACCTGAATCTCCCCGAGACAGCATGTCTTGCGATCAAGGGCCCCACACCACTGCCTTTCGATATCAATGGGTTCCATTGGGGCGACGATATCATCTTTGACCAGTCGACTGGCGGGCTCGACGGCGACAGTGGGTTTAAGAGAACAAGGAAGCTCCTGAGGGAGGTTGTGGACGAGTCACTGGTGAAGAAGTGTGGTTGGAATCCCAGGAGCATCTTCTTCCTTGGCTTTGGGCAAGGCGGGATGGTGGCGGTTGATATTCCGGCGGGGAATAAGAGCATCGAGTATGGTGGTGCGATCTCGATCGGAGGTGCGCTGCCGTCCGATTTGGAGAAGCTCGAGGCTGGAGGACTCAAGAGTGCAACGCCGGTATTGTTACTGGGTGCCGAGAAGAACTCGGCTATCGATAAAGCTGCAGAGGAGAAGATGAAGGAGAGATTTGACTTTGTAAAGGTTGTCAAGTGGGGCGGCAGGGATGGTGATGGGATGATGAAGAATAGGGAAGAGGCAAGACCAATCATGGAGTTTTTCGCAAAGAGGTTGAGGAGTAAGCAGGGAGTTCCGGAGGGAGCTGTGGAGTTGTAGCAAGCACGTGATTAAGTATTTAATACTAGTTAGTTGATTGGAGCTTCTCAAGTTTGAGCGGAATCCGGTACTGCAAGTTGGAAGAATTCTAAGGAAACGATCACGAGTGATCAACTATGACAGTTCATGTATGCCGGTCTGTAGAGTCCAATTTTCTCTTTAGTTGGTGCGCATGGAATCTGCGCAAGGTTTGCGCAGCCCGATAGATAGCTCCTTGTCATCATTGCATTGGTAGGAACTTAGCTCCCATATAACAGCAGGATCCAATACAAATGATTCGATCATATGATCAACACCTTTAGGAGTTTCTTGCCGATTGTGAGCTTGTGAGGCTGAGAAGGAAGTGCAGTTTCCTGCGCGCCAGAGTTTGTTCAAACCAGGATGCGGTGTCAGGCTGCAGAAGTCGCAAAAATAGGGAGGGTACGTAGTAGTGATTCATTATGCCGCAATCGTGCATTCTCATATCCTAGAGTTCAAGAATAGATAGGTATTCCCCATCCCATATTTACGGGCTTTGATAGTCGTTCATATAAATACGAGTTTGCACAGAATAGAGATTTTTCTGGGACATAAAGTCATCGGTATTGCCAAGTCAATAATTCAGAGCACATATGAATGTAATTGCAGGGGGAGCTTCGCCGACGCACGCTATGGGAGTGTTTTGCGGAATGAATTTTCATTACTTGTGTTGAAAAACCACTTCAGCTTGAGCGCATGATAACACTTTTGTGAATATGACACTCATACAAAGTTTCCAATTCATAAATAATCATTATCATAAGAACATTTCCCGTAGAAGAACGGCGTATGGAGTACACATCCAACTAGTTATCAAAAGTTAAAAAGTTATTCAGAATCATAGCAGAACCTGTAAATTATCTGAGCCATTACCTCAACCCGAGTGCTTGCTTTCTACACTCAAAAAGACAGATCCACGAGTTCGCTGTACGCCATACTGTTCGTGAGTGTTGCGAAGCCTGTGTATTCCAAAGCCCTCACACCCGCTGAGAACCCGCGTTCTTTTGCAATGTCGATCGGCATCTGAAATAACAAGTTTTGGAAGAAAGGAAACGCGCCACCCTCAAGTAGCAATATTGTCATGGTATCATCGTCGAGAAACGCCGCCCGGTGCAGGACAGAATTTCGCATGTTGTCCATTGTGTTGATGTTTGCCCCTCGCAACAAAAGCGATTTGACTACGTCCTGCTCGTTTGCAGTCACCGCCACGAGAAGCGGTGTCTCTTCAAGGTTGTTTTGAACATCGATAGCGGCTCCATTATCTAGAAAGAGCTTAACGAGCTCTTCGTGGCCCTCGGCGGCGGCTATGTGAATAGCTCCAAGAGAACTGCCATCATTGATATCAACACCATGCTCGAACAGTAAGCGAACTATCGTACTGCTTCCTCCGTAAGCTGCCCAACTAAGAACAGATCCACCCTCCAGGTCACGTATCTCAGTGCTCGCTCCCTTCTTAAGCAGACTTTCGAATATAGCTTTATGGCCCAACTCCGCGGCCCAATGGAGTGCCGTGCCCCCGCGAAGAAGGTCTTGGATAATGCTATTGGCCCCATTCTCTATCAAATACTCAACCGCCTTGTGCGAGCGACAGCCCAGGCAGATACTTGAGTAAAGAGTTGGGGCCTTTCCGATCACGATGCTAACTTCGCATTCCTCGAGTAGTAGGCGGATCATCTTTTCGTTTTTGTTGGCTGTCGCAAAGAAGAGAGCGGTAACAAAGTGCCTATCCGTTTGAATTGCATGCTTAAGTAGGCTTGGAGATAGCAATACTGATAGATAGCGATTGGCCCTGAGGAGCGAATAGAGATCCTTTGTTTCGAGGTCCTTTGAAATCTCGAGGATAAGCTCTGTTGGAAGGTTGAGGAGAGGCATTGAGAAGTTTGGTATGGGTACACGCTGTGAAAGCTATGTAAGAGGCAAAAGGTCGTTGTTATATTTACAAGCTTATGGATTGCCAGGTCATCCCGACGATAATCGAGCTATCAATCGAGCTATCGAGCTATGAAGCTCTCGACCTATCGCCTCTCGAGCTTAGCATGGATGCACATTCGCACGTGAGGCCAACGGTGCGTGGCGTGTAATTCTACGCTATGTAGTAATCATTAAGCGCTGTGCCAAGGCCTGAGCGCGCATAATTTCTATCTCGGTTTGGTCACTTGATCGGCCATGTCCTATCTATCAGAGTTCCCGTCTCAAGTGCCCTTAAAGAGTTGAAACTGCCTTTTCCTTTGCAAACAGCAGGTACATACAGACCGAAGGGGTTGACCTGGGCGAAGAGCATCGCATTTGAAGATGGACCTTCATAGGGTAGGCGCCTGGTGGGGTAACACTGAGCTTCCCCGCACCTTCAAACTTTGTAAACAAGGCTGCCGGGCAAGGCTGAGAAAAATATACAACTGCATAAGTGAATATATCCCTGGGCTCTGAGACTCATTTGTTTTTCACAGGTATCCCGGTTAATAACCTTTTTGAATCTCTTTATAAGCGTTCCAATTCCCACGCTCGTTGAAACAAGCCTGTTCTCCCACGTATCCCATCCCGTTTTTAACAAATATTGTCGGTATCTTCGTCAGCTTTCTAGCAGGACTTCCATCAGCATGCCTGACATGCCTAAGTATAGCATTGCTGTGACTATTGTCGGGGTCATCCAGCTTTCGGGAAAGGTTACCTCCCTGGGCTATGGCTATATTGGTGGGGTAGATCGTGCTCCCAAGTATCTTCGGGAGCTTGTTGATGAGCTTGCCGCTCTCAGTAAAGTACTTATCGCCATACAAGATCACACTGATAAGGAACCAACTTCTGAAGTCATACATTCATTAAACGAGGAAAGAGGGCCCCTTCAAGGATGTGCACGGGAGTTGGAGATACTACAGACGAAATTAGAACCCAAGAATGGAGAGGGACTTCAATCAGTCATGGAAAATAATCTCGAGTGGCCTCTTGAAGAAGAGCCGACGAAAGAATACATTGAGCGTGTCAAAAGACTGAAGGAAATCTTTGAGCTTTCTTTGCAACCTGAACCCGAGTGAGTAAATCAACTAGTCTTTAAAGATTGTTCTAACTGTGCCTAAGACGTACTGCAGAGGATTTGGTTGGACTGGTGAAGAAGTATACTGAGGACGAAGATCTTGAAGTTCACAAGCTCCCCCTAGATCACCCGGTTGTGGTAAATTGGTATAAGAGGGAGGAGGCTCTCCGAATGGGTGAGTTATAAAAACGCGAATTATAAGATCTCATATTCACTTATTTGAGCTAATTTGCTCAATTACTAGAGGAAAAGCGAGAGAATGTGCTCAATTGGCTATACCCGGAAGACCCCGAGGCCAGGCATAATGAAATCAGTAATCGGAGGCAAAGGGAAACTGGCTCATGGCTTACAGAGAGACCAGAATTTCGGGAATGGCTTCTGGGCAATGATCCTGCTTCTCTATTCCTATGGGGCTATGGAATCCGTATGTCTTCCCACCGGTCAAGAAATTCCAGTACTGACAAAAAGTCATCTCTGAAGCTGGTGCCGGAAAGACATATTTGAGGTATGCAGCGCCGTCCCATGTACATGCCACGCCTATCAAAAGTTCTTCGCTGAACTAGCTTGCTCTCTAGTTCTGTCGTTGTCGACTATTTTCCATCTGGACCATTGGCGGAAACGGTTAACTATGGGCTAGCTTATATCTATTTCGATTACAGAGAGCAAAACAGGCAAGAACCCGAACATATCATTGCAAGCCTCACCAAGCAACTTGGTAGCCAAACTCTTGGTTTACCAATTGAAATCCAAGAACTGCACGACAGATTGACTCCTACCCGTGAGAGGCCTACATATGAAGAACTCTTTACTGCATTGCTATCTACCTTTGAGTCATTCGATCGGGTATATTTCGTGATGGATGGGTTGGATGAAATTAAGGATTTAGGAAAGCGAAAGAAGTTCCTTGACCTATGTCATCGGATTTCCAAATATGGCGTCCGTTTTTGGTTTGCAAGCCGAAAGGACGAGCACTCGGCCGATATCGAAGCCTCTATGGACGAAGCGGGGGCAGCGAGAATTGAGCTCCGAGTGGATCAGGGTGATATCAAAAAATACATCTCGGAGAGGATTGATGACACCCCGCGAGCCAAACGCCTTGTCCAGCAGGGCAAGTCTAAGGATAAAATTATCGACGCTCTTGCCATGTGCGCCGGGGACATGTGAGTTGGAAAGAACCCGGGCCCTGGTTTTAACCCATTTCCTGATTTCTTTAGGATTCTACTTGTCCGTTTCCACCTAGAGTATATCTGTCAACAGACTACGGCGAAACAAATCCTACAGGCCCTCACAAAACTAAAAGGGATTATCGATAAAGAAGGCCCATTGGAACCAACTTTTATAAGGGCCATAGAAAATCTGCGACGACAACCCAAGAACTGCTCTGACTTGGCCGTGAAGGTCCTTGTTTGGCTCGCTAAAACAAGGCGGACACTTACAGTTGACGAAATCCAAGTAGCCGTTTCTATTGAGGCAAGACGAGAAAGACTTGACGAGCTAGACTTACCAGACAGGACCACGTTGTTCGATGTCTGCGGTAGTCTTGTTTCAATTGATGAGCAAAGTGGGACTATTCGCCTCTCTCATGAGAGCGTAAACCATTTCTTAGCCAATTCGCCGTCTACTATTCCAGAGCTTTTAGACGAGACTGTTACTGTGGCTTTGATGACTTACCTTGGGTTCGAATCTCTCTCGGTCAGAATTACAAATGATGGACTGCCGGCTCGTCTCAAAGAGCAACCTTTCTTGAGTTATGTGGTGACTCAAATACAATATCATCTTAAACTCTGCCCAGAAAAGGCCACCCTTAGTTTAGTTCTCAGATTCCTTAGTATGCCGGTAAATATCTATTCATATTTGCAGGCAGCCTCATTTTGCAATGCGAAAATGCGAGGTGATATTCTCATTCCGGAGTTCCCTTCGGAGCCCCTCGAATATCCCGACTTTCCAACGAAACCTGCACTACACGTCGCAATTATTTTGGGACACTTTTTGGCGATTGAGCACTTGATAGAAAATGGAGCAGATCTCTGTGAGCCCGATTCATGGGGCCAGACTGTAATCCACGAAGCGGTTTTAGCGGGAGATGAGAACGTGTTCTGCTATTTGTTGGAGAAAGGTGTTGATGTTCTGGGGGCTGATCACAAAGGCCAAACGGCACTGCAAAAAGCCTGCGATATAGGCAACGAAAGAATGGTCAACCTATTACTAGAGAAAGGGGCTGAAGTAAAAACTGTCGATATCACTGGTAAAAATTGCCTTCACAAGGCAGCTTTGGGGGGTCACGAGGGAATAGTAAAAATATTACTCGAACGCGACATTGATTTTACGGTCATTGACGAACGTGGACATAACCCGTTAATGGAGGCGGCTTCCGGAGGACATGAGGGAATAGTAAAAATTCTACTCGAGAAAGGCGCTGACACCAGTCTCCTTGATGTCAATGGTCGATCTATCATTCACTTGGCGGCACATGATGGACACCACAATGTGGTCCGGGTTCTCCTTGAAAATGGAGTTTACGATCTTTCACTCTTTGACAAGGACGGGCAAACGGCACTTCACATCGCGGCGGCTCGAGGACATAAGTCTACTTTGGAGGTATTAGTTGAACACGGTGCCGATATCCACGGCAAGACCAGTGCTGGAGATTCTGCACTTCATCGAGCAGCAATTTACGGGCAACGAACGATAGCCATGTATCTCATTGGAGAGGGACATGTAGATATCTCAGTTTTGGATGCGAATGGAAAGACAGCGCTAGAGGTTGCCGAGATCGCTAGGCGCGACCAGTTGGCAATGGTCCTCAAAGGTAATGGTGCTGAGGAAGAGATTAAGGAAGCCATAAATCGTGAAAGGCTGGTCCAGGTATTAAGAGGAAATTTAAATCCTGAAAATCCTGGTAATCCCAAAAATCCCGGTAATCCTGCGATTACTGGCAATCCTGAAAATGTGGATGTGGAGATGAAAGAAGCTTGAGGACAATTTTGGTATGTACTTGACTCCCAATGGAATATTACCAATCTCGAAATTTTTATGTTCATATGTCTTGATAGAATTTTCTTTTGGCCTAGATACCATGTACGCATACAGAATTGGAGGTCGTAAAATAATGAATCTCACTTTATTTTTGGCATTTCCAGTCTTCAATTCCTCCTAATTTATATGAAATATATATATTTACTATTAGATCGTTTGAAGCCTATCCATGTCTTGTATGAATACTCACTCGTTATTAATTAAAGGTCGGAAGTCGTTACAAAAAGATCCCCACGCAAAATTTCGGCCTTTTAATTAACGCGTGAGTATGTCTACGGTAAAGAGCACTCCAAGGCTTGGCCTCAGTTTGAAGTGGCGGGGCATTCACACTTCTATCGTTTTTGAATTCTGTCATTTCTAGACCTCAGTACCTCTGGTTTAGACAAGCGGCATAGAATTTAAATTGTAGTTGCAATTGCGCATGGGGTAATAGGCTGTTAACCATATCGGGTTAGATCACATGATCCACTTTATTGTGTCCGAGTGAGATTATGTGAAGCTTGGCGAACCACACATGGGGATGTGGTTGTTCCATTCTAATAATATGGGTTTGAAGAGCATAATTATAAATAAGCCGGTTTTTATATCATTGGGTAGGCATTAAGATTCTCGTGCACTGTCAATAGATTTCTTGGTTTATATATTTGCAATCCAACAGCCAACAAAAATTACATGAATTTACCCCTTTCCACCGCGCACCATCCACGGCCATACCACCTAATACAGCATACATACATGTACATATGTACCTCTGTTATTATAGATTTACATGTGAATAACCGCCCCCCCCCCCCCCCCCCCCTTCTCCCCACATACACTCACACAACACAAAACAGCGATGTAATCATTGCCATTAATTACTAGGAACATATATTTCTCATTTTTTGATACATCGAGAATGCGAAGTCCATCAAGTAACTCATATCTGATCGAAGGAAGAGCTCGGGTTTACGAGGAAGCAGTGCGGACGTTGCAGGACCCAAAGAGACAAACAAGCTCCTCAACCGCATCTCCAGTAGCAGTTGCAGCCGCAGAAGAACTCTCGCTCGCCGCAACAGACGATGCCTCCGCGGTAGCAGTAGCGGTGCTAGAAGCAGAAGCAGGCGCAGAAGCAGAGACTGCGGCGGAAGCGGTAGTAGAAGTGGTAGCAGAGGCCGAGGCAGAGGCGGAGACAGAAGCCTCAGCCGTGGCGGTGGTGGTGCCTGAGGTAGCGGCAGATGCAGCAGCTGAAGTTGTCATAGCGGTATCTTCAGTGACAGCAACGGCTTTCGAGGTGTTAGTACCGAGATATTACCTATGGGGGGTATTTTTAGATAACTCACATTCAGCTGGAGCACTTCCAACTGGAGCAGCGACACCACTGAGAAGGGTGGATCCAACAGCGACCAAGTTCTCCTGCCCGAGGGTGTTTTGGGTATAACGAGCGTTGAACTTAACAACGCTCTTGATAGCATTGAATGTCTTGACGTCCAATGGTAGGGCTTGCTCAGTGACCAAGAATGTCAACCCTTCAGCACATGGGGGAGTGGTGAGGGAACCAGTGTATTGGAACAAAGGTGTGGTTTGGAGGTGGTCAATGAGAGGTGCGAAGTCGAGGGGTCCAGTTTCTGTAATGCTACCAGGAACAGCAATTTCGGCAATCTTCTCGGTGACGGCTGTTAGAAGCTCAGTCGTTGTGCCATCTTCTGTGAGCTGGAAGGTTACTGCCAGTACTGCAATTCCGCCAGAGCCATCTATAGTGATATTAGAACATATCCACCTGTGCCTATATAGATATTAGGAGAAAGGAAGGGTTGAACTTACCAGCTGCTTCATGCACCATGTGAATCTCCAATGGGAAGTACTCCTCAGCGATTCTGTGCTCGCTTGGTGTATGGAAATGGAACTGTTTAAGAGAAAATTCCTTCCCAGCAAAGGTTGTAGTGCCATTAACAACTACCTCAATCGTGGTCCCTAAGTTTTCAAACTCTGCCGCCTCGACTGAAGCAATTGTAATCACAGGGGCCTCTGTCGCCAATGATATTGTATCGTCAATGTTGATTGGAGATTGCACGGTCGAAGTCACGCAAGCCGAATTCTCAGCTGCAATCCCCGCCCAGCCCAAGGGGCCTACGAGCCCGGTATATCCAAAATTGGAAACTGCAACTTTTCCGCCTGGAAGTTCCTCGCGTTTGTGGAACGATGTACCGTGGATACAATTTGCAGAGACGAGTTGCGAGCTCAACGCCGAGGCGATCAGAAAAATCTGTTTGACGTACATTTTGACGATTTTGTAGGTGTTTTGGTTTTTTTTTTTTTTTTTTTTTGGTTGTGAAACTTGCTACCGGAGCGAGTGATGGCAGAACTTGAGTTTTGAGGGTGAAAAATTGGAAATCAAAAGACTAGCGCTGCTGTCTAACGAGAGATATTACTCCTATCTCCTGCGATAACGAACAAACTGGTCGAGTATAAAATATCGGCTCAGCCGGTTTGAAGAATGAAATAGGACTAAAAGAGAGAGAGAAAAAAAAGGAAAACTGAAAAAAAGGAATACCACCAGTATACGGTAAGTTGCAGAGTTGCAGAGTATTGTGTACAGAAGAAAGATCGTGAAGAGTGCCGCATTTGGGGGTGGAATATATCAGAACCGTAGCCAAGAGGCCAAGCAAGCCAAGCAAAACAAACATAGCAATATGAGGTTGTGAAGCAGCTGCAGAAGCAGAGCTTTGAAAATTTAGTGGACGAGTTTTAGAAAAGCAAGGTGGATGTTTGGGTTGTGAAGGTAAAATACTTGGCAAGACGGAGGTGATATGTAAATACAACTGCACAGTGGCAATTAAAGAGGCAAAGAGGGCGGATAAGTTATAACAGGCGCGATATAATATTATGGTACTTGCGACAACAGCCTGTGTATGTTTGGGTTGCGGCGGAGTTTGAGAATACTCACGATGAAGCAGTGGCTTTACATCTGACCAATACGAATGTCCCATAGACTTGCCACTTCGAGATAATTAAAGTAGGAAGAGCCGCAGTCTGCCTAGACTTATCATAAAAGAAATTTTGCAGGAAGCCCCAGGCGGCAAGCAATCCCAGGGCTGCCATCCGAGTAGCGAGGTTGATATCACAGAGACATGTGGGGAGTTGTTTGAACTCTGAATGGATCTGCAGAGCGATGATCCGACCCGAACTCCGTTAGAAGTTGTGTTCTCCACTGTCTCAAAGACTCTGAGTGGGGGTAGGGGTTAAGGGTGACTTTCAAGCGCTCTCACGGTTATTGTTTCGAAGCGCCCGGTTAAGCTCCTGCCAAAATGCCAAAATGCTTGTTATGCTAGCCAAGTCTTGTCTCAACTCATAATATCAAACATCACTTCCACGAGGAGTGCTTTATTGACACCATAAGATTCGGTAATGTTAGTTTAAACGTACATGTAATTGATTGCCGACCAACATCCTACTCCTTTAAATTAACGTTACGGCGTCTGAGATTGCTTCCTTTTTCGGTTGTGTCCCGGAGTACCCTATGTTGGATTTCAGGGCCATAATGACGATAAGCCATGCATTAGTTGACCCCATATTATTTGGTGAGTATTCTAAATTGGTTCATCTTCGAAGAGCCCGGATAGGCAAGTCTATTGAATCCCTTCCACAAAAGAAGCGAGGATTACTAGTATTTCCGTGTGTGTTGAAAAGGTTTCAATCCTGTTATGTTTACCAAAGAGCCAGAAAGGAACGACTATAATAATTTGACTGGATTCGGAGGTCGGCCTATTTTTATCGGGATGCTCCGATGCTTTTTATGCATGGTTCATCTTGTTTAATTAGTATGGTCGGTTTCTATCTTGTTCTAAAGTAGAATTATGCGCACATGTGCCTGTGTCATTCTCAAGAGCGAATATGATAATTCGACTTGATTGTGGCGTGTGGAGCTTCTGATGATTGAATAAGATATTGGTTGTTGCAATGAGGCGTGCCCCAGCCCCGCGGGACTGTTTCTCGGACATCTACAGTTTCCGGTAGAATTATTGCGAAAGTCAGAGCTAAAAGAGTGGATTTTGTTGGTCTGTGCTCGTAGCAAAAATCTTTGAAGGGCCAATAGGACTATCGGGTCACGGGGAACCCACTTTCGCAATAATTCTACCGGAAACTGTATGTCCGCAATCGAAGTGTGAAGCTACGGGATGGGGTGTAAATGCATGGCTTAGCAATTGAGCTAGTGTCTTAATGGAAGATGCTTCCTTCGATTTAGGGATAAGGAAATGCACTAACAGAGAAATCATGTGATTTCACGATTAGTAACTACATGTAGTTAGTAGCCTATCAATCCCAGCGACACGGTTAGTGTGGGGCATTATACGCGCAGTGACGCGACTCCCTCCACAAATTTCAGATTCTCGTCTACAGCTCTGCTTAAACATCGCCCGCATCCTGGATAACAAAATCGCCTGTACTTGACATGCCTATTGCCACATCGAAGCGCTCGGCCCATGAGTTCCTGTCGGACGAAGACGATAAGGATGACATCTCTATCGCTTCTAGCATCGTAGGCCGAAAACGCGCCCGCCGGGGAACTATAACGGATGACAACCGCCACCATAATGATAACGGAGAGAACGAGGACGTCCAGGGTGATGAAGAAGAGAACGGTGATGATGACGATGAGGAAGAGGATGACTTGGAACTGGATGAGAATGGGACAGTGAAGGTGGAACCTGGCAGCATTCTTCCACCAGCCGATCCGGAGGTTGAGGATGAGGAAGAGGTTCTAGGGAGAGAGGGTTTAGAGCTAGGCCCCAATGAACAGCCTTTCCAGCCTGGGAGTATCGTACGGATTAAGGTCAACAATTTTGTTACTTATTCACAAGTAGAAGTATTTCCAGGCCCGAATCTTAACATGGTCATTGGTCCAAATGGAACAGGAAAGAGTACGATTGTTTGTGCTGTTTGCCTTGGTCTTGGATGGGGTCCAGGGGTGAGTTTCAGACATCTTATCCTCATGAATATCATCTGACGCATAACCGGTTGAACCAGCACCTAGGCAGAGCAAAAGATATCTCAGAATTTGTCAAACATGGAGCCCAAGAAGCAAGAATTGAGATTGAACTTCAAGGTCAACGAGGTTCCAGAAACCCAATAATAGTAAGAAGAATTATTCGAGAAGGCAACGCCTCAAACTTTACTCTAGATGGTACGATTCACACAAAACCATGCCTTCTTCGTCTATTTGACATCAACTAATCCGGTTTTCTTTCACCATAGGCAAATCAATAAGCAATGGGAAATTGCTCAAATTCACAAGATCTTACAGTATACAAATTGACAACCTTTGTCAATTCCTTCCACAAGACAGAGTCGTTGAGTTCGCTGGGCTTAACCCAATAGATCTCATGAGAGAGACACAGCGTGCTGCAGCTCCTCCAAAGGTTCTCGAGAACCACGAGAACTTGAAAAAGTTGGGGAAAAAGTTGAAGGAGATCTCAAATGATTTTGAATCAGATCGTGCGACGCTCAAATCAATGGAGGACCGCCAAGCTGCGCTTCAGCAGGATGTTGAGAGACTCCGAGAACGGCAGGAAGTAATGCAAAAAATAGAACTCCTGGAAAAGGCGAGACCCTTCATTGCCTATACTGCAGCTCGTAAAAAGTCCAACGAGGCGAAGGAAGCATTCAAAAAGTCTCAGAGAGAATTGGAAGAGCTGAAAAATCAGGTGCAGCCGATGACAGATGCGCCAAAGATTAAAAAACGTTACAGAGATTTGCTGGACAAATGTGTTAGGGAGAGAAAGACCCTCGTTGAAAAAAAAGAGGAAGAGATGACCAGATTCAAGGATAGAGTTCTTGCCAAATATGACGACGAGAAGAAAAAAGTTGAGAATAAGAGAGAAGCCGAGCGGGATGCTGAAAAGGGCCGGAGAGAAGCCGTAGGTAAATTGAGGGGGAAGATAGAAAAACTAAAGAAATCGCTTGAGAACGAGCCTCCCGAAATCAATCTGCATGAGTTCAATCAACGACTGGTATGTCTTCTCTTAATCCTCGGTTTTGTATGTAGTTTTTGACGTCTAGATAACTGTAGGCCGGGAAACGACGAGATATACGAGAGTGCTGGACGAAGGCCGAGGAGAAGAAGTCCGAAATCATGCCAAAAATCGATCAAGCTAATCGTATCAAAACTCAAATTACTCGCGCACAGACAGAGTAAGTTTCCCGATTTTTCCTTTTTCCCTTTTCCCTTTTCCTTTTTCCCTTTCCCTTTTCCTTTTTTCCTTTTTTTTTTTTTTTGGTCGGACATTAGTTAACCTTGAATCTACAGACTCGAAGATCTTGAGACTGCAACTGGTCAACGCGAGAGAATGCTGAGAAATATGAGCCCTGACACTTTTCGAGCTTGGGATTATTACAAATCTCATAAGGATGAATTTGAGGCTGAGATTTTCGGACCTCCAGTATTGACATGTAGTATCAAGGATCCCAAATATGCCGATGTTGTGGAGGCCTTGATAGGTAATAACGACAAGAAATCCTTTGTTTGTCAAACGAGGGCCGACTACTTAAAATTCGTAAATGCTTGCTTTGACAAAGGGATGGGGCTTGCCGATGTGACTATTAGAGACTATTCAACAAGCAGGGCACCAACATTAGCTCACCAGCCAGAAGGACCGATTAAGGCGGAGGAGGTGAGATTATGTTCCAACTTCTATGTTTGGTGCAGATGCTGACGAATTTATAGCTGGCTAGATATGGGTTTGACGGGTACGCGCTGGATTATATGGAGGGACCAGACCCAGTGCTTAATATGCTCTGTAATGAGACTGGTATTCATCGCACGGTAGGAATATCCCACGTGGCCTCCTTGATAGCTCAAAGTCGCTTTATTGGGCCTTTTTCTGATTGGATATAAGCCCATTTCCCTCAAGGATTTCACTCCCGCCCAAAATAAACAAATGGAAGATACAAACATCGTACAATGGATAGCTGGCCGGACAAGCTACAGAATCATTCGCAGGAGAGAATACAATGCCAGTTCAACACGTTTAGGAAATGTCAGACCCGCCACAGTATTCAAAACGCAACAAGTAGACCAATCCTTGAAAATCGAGATAGGGCGCAAAATATCTGAGCTTGAGGAGGAACTTGCAAGTGTCGAGGAGGAAAAAATTGCAAAAGAGAGAGAGCATCGTGAGATCAAGGCGATGCACGAAACGCTCAAAAAGGAAGCGATAGATATCGATGCGGAAAAGACTGCGAAACAGCAGGATGTGTTAAAGTTCAACAAAATGAAAGCAACACTAGGGCCATTGGAGGAGGACTTGAAGCTAAAGTCTGTTGGGAGTGAGGAATACAAAGAGAGAATCAAGGAGCTGTCAAACAAGCTAGTTGAACTAGCTGTCAAGAAAGCAAAAGATACTTTACAATATGGGGTAATAAGTTTTCCCCTTCTAGTCGGGGTCTTGACTAATTGATAACAGCGTATAATCAAAGAACTGGTGGATTTGCATCAGGATTTGATGGAAGCCCAACTTCGATTGGCTGAAGCACAGTCGGATGTAGATATATTGGAGAAAAGAATTGAGGAAACCAAGACAAGGTTGGAGAACAAGAAGCAGGAGGTTTCTGAGCGTAAGACTCGCCATATTCTACACCCGATTCACATTGCTAACTATAAGTAAAGTCGAAAGAACATCGAAGGCTCTCCTTGCAGAGGCCAAGTCTATGCAAGCCAAGTGCAGGAGATTGTTTCTCGAGTTCACTGAGGCGGAGAAGGAAATAATTATGGCATTCCCTGATACTAAGTCTGGCGAAGACATTGACCATGACATCGAGATCGAGACGGCCAGGCTCTCCCTCCTTCACGAAGGGAACCCGAATGCTATCAAACAGTATGAGGATCGGCAGGCTAAGATCACAGCTCTGACAGCAAAGATCGCAGCAACAGAAAGGAAATTACAAGAACTACAGGATGCGATCCAGGAGCTACGGGAAGCTTGGGAGCCGAAAATTGATAGACTGGTTGCTAAGATCAGCACAGCGTTCACGAAGAGCTTTGAGAAGATCGGGTGTGCCGGAGAGGTAAAGGTGCATAAAGAGGAGGACTTTGACAAGTGGGCGGTTCATATTCTCGTTAAGTTCAGAGCGAACGAGAGACTTCAAATTTTGAATAACCAACGGCAATCTGGAGGCGAGAGGGCCGTATCTACTGTATTTTATCTTATGGCTTTGCAGTCGCTTGCGAGGTCTCCATTCCGCGTAGTTGATGAAATCAACCAAGGGATGGATCCAAGAAACGAGAGGCTTGTGCATCACCGAATGGTCAACATCGCATGCCAAGAGTACACATCACAGTAAGTCGCTTTATGCTTGTCTCTTTTTAGTAGGATAAACTACTGACAGACATATAGGTATTTCTTAATTACGCCCAAGTTACTACCAGATCTGATGTATCATCCACGCATGAAAATCCACTGTATCAACTCTGGAGACTGGATCGATGCAGGGTCTGTTCTTGATAACACCAAATATCTAAAGATAGGCCAGGCACTCAAAGCGCGTGGTACAGTGTTTTAAAAGTGTTATGCGTGACGAGATACGTTTATCGGTATCAGCTATGTTCTATGTAATTCCTTTTCTTTTTTCTCTTTTTTTTTGGCGTAGTGAAGTGTTTTTTTCTCGCTTTCTCTCTGCTTCATATATCTACATATGTAGTTATACGTAGAAGAGTTTTGGGTTGGGTCTAGGTTTTGTCATATCTCTTAAATAATACCTTGTTTGATGAATTTTTTTGTTTTTATTACTCGCTATCTCATGTCCTTAGGTATTTTTAACTTCAACCAAGAGTTACAAGTACGTTTAGACTAGTCGCTTCCATCGGCGGCAGCAGCAGCAGCCCATTGCGGTCCATGAGCTAGCCCAACTCGTTAAAACCCAAGACTCACCGAAGGCTCAGATATGGCTCGAGCTTGTAGGCCAATGATCAGGGATGAAAGATATCTTCCTATGAAATGAGGTAAATATAAAGATTGAGAGAGTGCACCTACATCGATGAAAAAGTAGGTAACCCGAATTAGTTGAGTCCATCCCACCTTCCCAGGAGATGTAGAGAGAGAGAGAGCTCTAATGACCCGTCTATAAACCCCTTTCCTGAACCTATCTTGTCTAGAACATTAGTAACAGCTTTGGCTCAAAATATTCGGCTCGCAGAAAGTAACTACATAGTATCACACACACCCATGAGTTGAGAAACGAGAGGGCGTCGCATCAACGTTGCACCCTCCCCATCTCACGCTTGCGCTATCGCTTCTAGTTACCAATCCTCCTTCACACCGTGTCACTCGCCGCCGCTCCACGCACGCTGTAGCATCAGGTGTTTCCCCTCCAATGGCAGCTATTTTAAGGGCACCAATGACAACTTAAGCTTAATTGCTCTTTGTCGCACAATGTTCTATGAGTCATGTAAGTACGCACGCGCGTGCTTATGCGATGGAATACGAAATGTGCACAACCCTCTCTGTTGGAGAAACTTTCGACTGTTTTGAGTTGGAGGGTGAACTAGGAGAGGTTATGAAAATGAAACCTCGTGAGACTGCCAAGTGCAAAGAAGCCTTCATGTCAGTCCTTAGTCAGGGGGAAAAAATTCACATTTGGTGGGGTAAGATTCGAGACGTTTCACTACTGATTAAGAAGGTCCGTGCTCTTGTTTGATGTGATCTACAGCTTTAAGACACGAAGATACGATAACGTTTAGATATTCAAGAGATGTTTTATAAATTTTGAATTTATAATATGAAACTTCGACTCCCCTATTCCATCCGAACGAGAAGAAAGAAGGAAAGAAAAAGGATAGAAAAGGGATAGAAAACCAGGAAACCAGGGACCAAAGGTAAAGAAGATTAGCAACCAAGAGAAGAGTGGTAAAAAAATATATCTATATATCGAATGGGAGAGAGGGATCTAGGCCCTCTCGTCCCCCAAGAGCCTCTCGGCTTCCTCTGTTTCACCATCCTCGACGTCTCTTCTCACTGGAGCCTCCTCCAGCCCCTCCCCCATTGCCACGACCTGCTCCCATCTCCTCACCTCTCTGTCCTCCTGTGCCAGCGAGCAGCAGGTACAGAAGAAGTGCCTCAAGACGTCGTCCATGAACCCGCCCGCAGATTCTAGTGTCTCAAACACCTTCACCTGTGGGGCGTCATCCTGGAACTCGCTGCTAGGGAGCCTAATTCCCTGCCCAGTGGGCGTGGGGGTAGCCGCCATGGCTCCGATAGGGAGCGTGTGGTCGATCGCGAGGCGGTTACGGATATCACCACGCTGAAGGAAGCCGAAGATGAACTCAGCACCGGGGATAGCAGAGGCAACTAAACAGTAGCCGAGGCAAGGAGCGGAGAACACTGGAGCGGGAGTGTTGGGGGAGTGGAGACGGTGGCGGGTTTGGGCGTAGGAGACACAGGGGCAGAACACGGCTTTGGCGGCTGTTTATAAATGATTAGTAATTTGAACGCAGGTACTGAGAACTTTGGGGAGCTTATAGGAGCTATCTAGGGAGTAAACGTACTGGAGGCAGGGTCACGGAGACAGTCAAAGAAGCCGTAGCTCCAGCCCTTCCTGCGGGGCTGGTAAGGCTCACGGCGAGCTGCCGAGTAGGTCATTGTCGGGCGAGGGAGGTCTGTAAAGACGTTTCCATCACCGTACGGGGTTGACGATGAGGTTGCACTAGTGGCATCTGTGTATGATGGTGGTTCCGTAACCATCGGGTCGACCTTGGTATCGCGAGGTGTTGCTTTAGTGTCGGCCATTTTGAAGATTTATTCTTGTGGTGGTTTGTCTAGTGGGAAACGAAGGTGATTGTAGTGAGAGAAAGATGGAGAGGAAGAGAAGGGAAAGGTGAATAATAGAGTAAGAAACGCCAGCTATGTAGGTAGTTGAAACATGAGTGAGGCTGTGCATTGACGGAACTCGGCTGGGCCGGCTCGCCAAGGGTGTTATATTTAGAGATCATGAGCTATCACTCGGAGGATCCTATCGTGGCGTTTTTGTTGGTGATCATTACCAATTAGATTGCACATAGATTAGATGGGCGATCTTGAAGGGTCACTCCGAAGTTTTCATATGGGTCAGGCATATAGCAAGTGCAATAAATATCAACATGGTGGGCGAAAATACTGCCCGAAATCAGAACATCTGGGGCAAATTACTGATTAGAATAACGGAATAAACCATCCTACAAAAGCTTTATTTTATACTATAGACTGCTACTACTTAATTATCGCGCTCAAACGGATTAGTCTATTACCTAGTCCTACAGACACCTAAAAGCCCTCGAAATAGACGAAGAACTACACATATGGATGTAAAGATGTACAGCTAGCTATCCTTTGAACGGAGAAGAAGTCAATATATCTAGCCCAACCCCTTTAAATATGGTTTGTGATTTATGAATCGTTTTTGGTGGCTGTTTGGGGATTAAATGGTGATCGCAAATCCTTACTAGCTTATCATGTCCACAAGTTGCCGAGGCTTGTAATATGTACTGTAGCCCTATTTCCATCACTTATGTGTCGAGTAAAATAAACTTTGAGAGCTAAGCGAAAAAGAAGTGTTTCCGCAGCTCTAGCTAGAAAACTATTATGCTATGCATGTGCACAGCCTCTTATATATCCAAATCAGTAAATACTACATGTACATAGCAGTTACTGGATTTGGAAGAGGTTTACAAATCACGTACGTCTCATAACGAGAAATAAGCTTAAGGGCGATAACAATGCAAGGCTGAACTTGATGGTCTGATAGATAAGAGTATGATCAATACTACTCTTAAGCTTGAAGATCCTCCTCCGCCGGCTAGTATTACTGCCTGCTGAGTGAGGGGTAAAAGGAAATAAAAGCATACTACGTAAGTTTGCTTCCTGATCATTACTGTCAAACCATGACATGTACATGTCTGTTCAAAGATTCTGGATTCCTTCTGATCGAACGGGGACTTTTCTATCTGTGAATGTAAATATCCCAAGATGGCGGCGTGACATACGTATACTATACTGTTAATTTAGACAAGCGTCCTACTCTCTCTGTGGTTGGTATAAAATTAGGAGTACCTGGTATTCATTTATTCTTACACTCTCTTGACATCCGCCCCGACTTTCTTCCCTCGTTACCTGAATGCATGCAGATTTGCCTTTGTCTCTGGCCGCATCACAGATCTACGCGGAAATACGCCCCCCCCCCCTTTCCCCCCTTTCCCCTCCCCTTCCAAACCCCACCCATACAACCAACAGCCCAAAGACCATGGCCATTCAACAACATTTATCGTACGCCAATCACCTTATCCTCGGATGCGTCATCATTCCTGCCCTCAGTCCGTTTCGTAGCTACAAGTCTAGCCAGATATAGTTAGATAGGATTAGGTTTGAGGATTAGGTTTAAGATTTAAGGTTTAAGCTCATCCGTTCTACATAGCACATATTCCCCCAAGCTCCGTTACTATGGTGACAATGCGCCTGCAATATTACGTACTTGTAGGACGTTGGGTTATGGAGGAGATCCAGGTATGTAAGTACGTACTAAAGTTTGGGTTTCTTTTTTATTCTTTCACGCAGACGCCTCTATCTTTTGTATATATGATACTTTACCGGCGCCGCGGGGGGGGGGGGGGGGGGGGAGAGAAAACAAGGTTTAAATAAGGCGAAAAATCGAAGTTTTAGGGAATATTACCTTTCCACGACTTGTAGGCTTGTAGTAAGACTATGGTGAAGAAGAGTACAAGTATTCTCCAAGCCGTTATTATAATTTAGCTAGATATTAGGGGTGCTTCCATGGATTATCATCCAGGGCCACAGCTTTACCCCGCAAGAAAGACAAGCGGACTGAAGTGCAAGAAACTCTGAGGCCTTCAATTGATCCTGACGTATCTTCTAGGGTCCATCTTCTTTACAGTTCAAGTAGAGCGTGCCCGGGCCCTTGGACAAGGAAATCACTTCGTGATCCTCAGAACCTATCTCTTCTTGGTTCTCCCCTTGACCAGCCTTACACCATTTATTCCCATTCAACGCCCGTGAGGGTGTCGGGTAAGGGTGTAGGTGCAGTGCCAAGGTTAGAGTTTGCCTTTTACATGCGTACAAGATTGAAATGAGATTGAAAAGCCATGTCCTCTACTAACATCATAGCTCCGGTAGTGTAGTGGTAACATACCTGTCTGTAGATAAACCCGCTTTTCAGCTGAGAAATCCCGATTAAGGTATCGGAGGTTCAATTCCTCCCCGGAGCATTCACTCTTTTTTTTTCCTTTTAGTTTTCCTCCAGAGAGAGGCCGTTAGAGGCGAGTCACCCCTCCCCTCCCACAAATCTGGTGCGTATAGAGTCTTTATAGATTTGAGGAAGAAATGAAAACACTCCTCGAATTAGATAACCAAACCTCCCCCAAAGCACCCCACCAAGCCCATATTCTCAAGCGGGGCTATGTATGTACATTAAATTATACCAGCACTCACGGTATGCCTATGACACTCATTTTCGCTGCATGAGTTCCAGTCAAGGCCCATTACGTGCACGAACATCTTTGCAAAGTGATTGTAACGCCAGCACCACTCTCTATCCGGACCACTCGCCGTCACTACGATGCCCCATATCCTAAAACGTATCTGGCAGTCTCAGAACTGTTCTTCGGTGAGAAAGGCCAAAAGCGCTCTCAATGCCATGCATGCAAGAGTGGCCACGTGGATATAGAGCCACGAAAGCACCATATGCCAGAGGACATAGCCAACGAGCTTAAGGGAAACAAAAAGTATCGACACATCCGATCCATGAGGCTAAGTCTGATCGAAGAGAGCGAGCACATTACCACAGCAACAGCAATTTTATAACTAGGCTTCAAGATACCTCCCCAGGGCACGCATAGGTTATACAGGTAGTGTGGTCCATGAGCCGGCTCGAGTCGAGCCGGCATATAAGCTCGAGCTGGCTCGGCTCGTGGGAGGCAGAGGCTCGCAAGGCTCGAGCTTTGGTGACAGGCTCGTAAACTGGCTCGAGCCTGTGATCAATGATATAAAAAACAGGTTATCCGTACAGCAAGTATAGTAAAATGGCAGATATAAGCTTCATTTCATGGGTTAATACCGTGAAAAAGATTAATTATTTAAGTGAACACTCTAGTGGGTAGAAATCCCCTTTTTGCTTCCTTTATGGCTTCTAGAGCCTAGTTCAGAGTGAGCAAACTGAGCTTGAGGTAAGGCTCGAGCCAAAGCTCGAGCCTTAGAGAAAACGGCTCAAGCCGGCTCAGGCTCGCTGGAGGGTGAGGCTCACTGGGCTCGAGCCGAAAGTTCGAGCCTAAAGCTCGAGCCGGGCCGGCTCATGGACCACACTATATACAGGTAGAAGAGTCACAATAAGGAAAACAGCAACGTCAAAACTGAGAGATTGAAACAAGACGTAACCCACCTACTTTTTTTTCATAAGAACTCTACCTCAACCCAAGCGGTCAAACAGCAAAGCAATACCTTCCAGTGAGAATAAGCAAATGATCACGTAAAAAGATGTTAAGTATCCCTTTTGGGTGAATGTGGGGCGAATGGAGCCTGCTATCGATATCGACGGTCGTTGGTTCCTGTAGATAGGGTAACTGTCAGGCCCAGGCTCATTCCTGGCCTTTATATTAGGCCTCCCAACTACATGTACATGTAGCTATAGCTATGCCCCACTAGCTAAGACTATGGTGAGTAGCTCGTTACTCCTTGTAGGCCGGGGCTGAGCACAAGAATAGCTAACTGCTAATCACCCAGCAGCGCCGGACTCCTAGGCCTAGTCCTGTCGAACCACTGACCGAGCCCAGATGTCGATGAACAGCGCGCGAGAAGTGCTCCTCTTCTTGATCCCCTTCTGAATTCACTGTATGACTAGTCCTGGTGGGGAGCTGGAAGTTTTAGATGGAATGGGTATTTTCACAAAAGAATAATAAGAACAGGACGACAATCAGGCCTATAACTATCCCTTCGGCGGTCAGACCCAGTTAGTATCTGTCAGATTGATTATCCGTATGAATTGCAAAGCAGATGTGGTTGAAGAAACACTCAAATTAACCAGTGACATTGTCAAGGTTGTATATTATTAACATCTTGCCTGATGTGGCGAAATTGTGCGGATTTATTCATTTCTGAAGTTCTTAATATCGTAACTTCTTTGAGTGGTTAACCTAATAGATAATATTTGGGCCTGGCTACCGGGATACTTTTCTCAGGCTGTAGTAACGGCATATTCATTGTGGGTCTGGCTAGAAGGCAGAGATATCTGTGCTCTTAAGACAAACAGCTGGTTTATCAGTGATATATACATGTATATATCTAACTTCAAATATTGCTATGGTAGATATAAGCTCTCACCTCTCCCACGCCTAAATACATAGACTAACGGATCCGTGGATAAAGTATCCGATATTTTTCATCTCTGGTGCCTCGGGCAATTCGTATAGAACAGATAAATACATGCTATTTGAGGTATTAGTTGGAGCTTGGATCGAAAGTCTACGATTTGAAATCTACAATTACTGCCATTTTACGTTCTCCACCTCACTTGACCAAAATAGACAGCGAGTGATACTTCATGACTCACTCGCTCAACACACCACTTACAAAATCTATGAAGATACCAGATGAAATAAAAAGCAATTCTCTTAAGTATTTAAGATCAATTTGAACTGCTCAAAAGCATCCTTATATACAGAAAGATCAAATCGCAGGCTCAGGTCACGTGCGCTTCCAGAAACACAGCAGCTGTACCTCCACATCATTGGCCAACCTCAACCTCAGCTTCTGTTTCTAGATAATACCCGTATATCAATATACTCGTCAAGAATGCACGAACCCGCCTCACCCACCACTTCAAAACTCCAATATTTTAACGTAGACCAGAGCTGGATCCAAGTCCACGAACGGCCATGCTCCTTCCACTCCCAAACCTTCCTGGAGACAATGCAAGAAATGGTTCTAAACCCAAACTACAACACTTCCTGGATACTGCGGGCAGATATTCTCCTTGATAATCGCCCTGATGATATTTCTGAGGAGCTCTCATCCTGCTCCTCGCTCAAGGAAGAACACACCTATGTCTTGGCGCCAGAGTTCGAGATGCGGGGATTTGCGCATACTCGGACCGTGGTGCGGCGATTCATTCCGCGGAATCCACAGCGGGACAAGACAGCCAACCAGACCTGTCTGTTTTTTGAGGAGAAAGTAGAGGATAGAGTTTTGGGGAAGGTCAAGACCCTAGTGGTCTACATTGCCCATGCAGCATCCACAGAAGAACTGCCGTACTATCTCCCCGCCGTTAAAGGCGTCGCATTCCTCTACGAAGAGACCCCAGGCCCAATTGAGGGACTGGAAAGTATCCAGAAGATCTCAATTCACTATCTTCTCTTCACACCCTCAACAATTGAGGGCCCAGGGATGACAACCCGCCTCGAAAGAACCGCTCTGCGACTAATGGACCGCATCATCAAAGTTGGCAACGGCAGCATCCGCGGGTATGAAAAGAAGGTGCATCACGACCTCGTGGTCCCCAGAGAACGATCTCAGGATACGTATCTGAAGCTGCGGGTGCGGCATGCTAAAAGATTGATGGATGCGTGGGTTGAGAAGACGGATCCTAAGAAGCACGTCTTTGAGGATATACTAATTGCAGCATTTCTTATCGAGCTCTGGGAGGACATGTACGGATCCGGCAAGGGAGAATTTCCAGGATTTGTAGATATTGGGTGTGGGAATGGAGTCCTGGTAGATATATTACTGAGAGAGGGTTATAAAGGGTATGGGTTTGATGCGAGGAGGAGGATGACATGGAAGATTTTTGAGAGGGAGACGCAGGAGTGTCTTTCTGAAAAGGTCCTGATCCCATGGGTACTGGGCGATGAGATGATAAAGGCGGCAGCCCTGGCAGAGGCCGAGGCGGAGGGTGTCAAGCAGTTAAGGATTGCTGCGGAAGAGAACCTTCAGTTGGAAGGAGGGATTATGGCAGGAATTCATGATGGACGCTTCCAGGAGGGGACATTCATCATTTCTAACCATGCCGACGAGCTAACTGGATGGACGCCTCTTCTCGCAAAAGCATCAAACTCTCCATTTTTAATCATTCCTTGCTGCTCCCATGATCTTTCAGGGGACAAACACCGCCACAAGTCCACCATGATCAAGACTGGAACAGTAGAAAACCTTGATAAACCTGGCACAAGAATAGGGACAATCAGCAGCGAGTATGCATCACTAGTAGAGTGGACTACAACCATTGCAGAAGATGTCGGCTACGTTGTTGAAAGGGAAGTCATGAGAATTCCCAGCACCCGAAATATAGGTCTCATTAGTCGAAAATGTGGCGATGGAGAGATGAGTGTGGGCGAAGTTTTAGAACGAGAAGGTGGCGGTGTTGGGTGGGCGGACAAGGCTTTTGCATTGAGGAGGATACAACTACAGAAAGGACACGGTTAGTAGCTGCCCTTTTACTAGACCCTTCTTTCTTAATTACAGCGTGATATTGTGATATACCCCAAAACCAGACTGTCAACCTACCATTGGCTTCAGTGATTGTTCTCAAAGAGCTGAATCTACGCAGGTACGGCATCAAAAGCTCGGTCACCATTATGCATTGAAATTATGACAAAAGCCCACCAGAAAATAAAGGCAGAAGGCCTAGGGCTGTGCAAAATAGTGGAGTAAGGTAAGTACTTTTTGGATATTTGGGAGGAACGGTGTAACAGCTGGTTTTCTGGTTTATTTTGATGGTAGATAAGGTTGGTAGTTATGTGGCAATATCTAACAAAAGAAACCTTTTGCCTCCAAAAATCCTAACCAAGACCAATGAGATAAATATATTGCTCGAGAAGTCATGAAATTTCTACCACGATAAACAGTTTTATACCAAATCAAGAAATCAGAAATCAAGAGGTCCAGCTAAGCAAGTAAACCGGAAAACAAAGTAAGAAAAAACCATATAAGGAAGTCATTGTAATTCCTCCTCCAGTAATTATCCTTGGTCAAGTTTCATGGTTCGACTTCTCGCGGTAGCAGTAAGGGATTGTGTTATGCCTTATCAGTTCGTATTTTGGATTCGCATCGAAAAGCTCTCGAGGCCCGGCTATGACCGACTCATCTAGATCGAAGCCGACAGCTGCGTGCCATGGTGTGAGAGTTGAGCTACGATCGGGGAACAGACTGATTGAGAACTTGTTGCTTCCTGAGCTTGCATGGATCGAGAGGCGAATGCAGTCCGAAAAGATGCTTCCTATAGCCGTAGCGTATGCCTAAGTCTGTGGTTAATATTATATATGTAGTATGTTAGTCTCGTTCCCAGCCTATGTTGAGGAAGCGCAACAAAACAGCCCGAGAACGAGACTATGTGTGAGCATAGGATTCGATATCTTCATGTACCCACCTTTCCACGCAGAATCATTCCGTCAGCTACAGCCACCTTCTGGTTTGACTGGCTGCTGTGTACATTTACAAGGTCATACTCAAGAATGTTATTGAGGTACACATCATACGTAGTCCTCGCGTCCTCGTTACTGGCCAGATATCGCACAACGTCCTCCCCCGCGTCGTCTGGAGCTGGAACCATGGCATCAAGCTCTTTACGCAACCGGACTGCATTTGCAAGATAGGCCTCCTCTGTGATCTCCTCCTCCTCAAACCACGCATCAAGCATGGTATGCAGTCGTGCGAATTTGAGCAGATCACCAAAGCCCTTATCCCGAACGATCTTTCTCACAGCCTGTCCATAAGCCCATACAGTACTGTCCGGAACATCAAGAATATCTAGACACGGTTAATATACTCAGTCCACTCTCTCGGATGATAACATATGGAACGGTCTTGATTACCACTATACACAAGCCCATCCGACACAATGATCAGCTCTACGCCTCCTTTATAGCAATCCCTGATTTTCTCACACATCCCATGCAGGTACGTCAACGCAACCTCCTCTGCCATGTCCGGTAGCACTCCTAGCACCTTTGTCTTCACATTTGGAGACTTGAATGGGAATCCGGGGAAAACCATGGTGATGGGACCGCCTAAATCTACTTTTTGTTGAATCAGTGGTGCAAATTTGGTGTGTGTTTCACAGCCGCAGTCGGGAGTCCCGTCGGGCAGGTGGAGGCGGTAACTTTCCAGAATGTTAAGGATTGCAGAAGTCTCGGGGCTCATTTCTGGTTCTTTTTATTCTAGGTGCTGATTGGGAAAGACAAGGGGTAGTGAATAAAACGAAGAGCTGTGCCATCTAGCGGCTATTCAGGATATATAGGTTCACCGGCGAAGATATCTCGGAATTATATGTGACACAGAGAGAGGATAGCAGCATATTCACGGCTACTTATCTATATACCGTAGCTGTTCTATTAGGATTACGGAATACAGCAATCAACTTCACTGCTCTCTAGGACTATGTATAATAGTAGTCAAATAATGACCCTTAATCCCCACTTCCCCCAACTCATACGATCGAGTGAGAAATCATGATTGCATTCGATATGCCACACAACCCTAAATATTTATCAACAGAAGGCTTTGCTACTACGGGCAAGTTTCATCAAATCACTTGAAATTGGCAGAATTCGATTGATATTGCTGTTCCTTTTCGCGCATGTGGAAATGCAATCGGGCATGTATCTTTACTCCCTCTAGGGTCGATCATGCTTCGTGTGTGTGTAAGCGTGGCCCTGCCAGCCTGGTGTCATAAAAAAGTCCTAAATCCAGGGGGTGTTGATAAAAATGCATGCCTCTTTCTAAATAAGCCATCATCCTCCTGAATGGCTGGTATACTAAATAAGCGAGAGAGCTCATTATATCGAGAGTACATATAATTCTCGTTCCTAGGCCAGAGGTTTTTGAGGAATGTTCCTGGCTGGATGAATCTCCTGAATGAACTAGATAAGACCGTTTCTGGAATCTGTGTTCAACTCTCTGTACTACTAGTGAAAGAGATTCTGATCCTTCCTATACTTTCGCGAGACTTGTGGAGGTGGTTTGATGGCCCTGAATGGTTTTCCACGAGAACTGGCGTTGCGTGTCCCTCAAGGGCAGATATTGAAGGGCTCGAAGTACCATGAATTAGTGAGTCCGGGATTTGTATGTAGATAAAGGCGTTCATCTATCTGGTCTGATGTAAAATGTCATCCGGAACCGTTTCTATAGGTTCAAGTTTACTCCAGAAAAGAGAATATGGATAATTATTATAAAGACGAGCTTGGAAACGACTTAGCATCATTAAACGAACGTGTAAATCGGTAGGTCGTGGTCGAAGAACAAACTTTGCACGGCTATGGTCTGATATCTTAGAGTAGAGAATGCACGATGGTTTACATCTGCAGTTGGTACACACTTAGCCCTATACACCCAATTGTCAAGATCAAAATATACAGTTACCAGTCATAGACCTGATTCCCGCCTTTGAATTTAACAAGGTCCTCGTGTCCATCGATCTTCCTTTGAGTAAATGCGTATATAGATTACTCCTGCAGGCATGCAGTATCTTAGTGTAGGTAAATGGAAGAAGAAAGGCCATGCATTACTGTAATCTACACATATCCATACGTCGTAACGCATCATATTAGGGCATTCTACCCCCAAAATGACCACCTACCCGGGTATTCAACAGCTTTACTCTTTTCTTTTACCTTAACCAAATATTGATTTGTATGGGCTGAATTGCACTTGTAAAACGTAGACTTCTTCACGGAAGACGATCTGAAAAATTCGAGTGATCATGCACTCGAGTCAATCATTTGCGAATCTCTCTTTCCGCCTCGTGGTTGGTTGGACGAGGGTGGGCAGTTCATATGGTTGAAGGAGGCGTGGCCTTCCCGGAAAGCTGCATCCCACTTGATTGCGTGGCATATCGATTTCTCCAGTGAAATTCTCCCCAGGTCATACAGGTGCTCCTGGTTCTACAACCAATGCCTCCCAACAATTTCTGATTTCATTATCACTTCCGGTCTCTCGGTCGAAAGCCAACTAGTAGCCACTCAAAAGCTGGCTCCATGTAGCAGGTGGGGTTAAATACCTGGAGTTAAATACTCACTCGTTAATTAAAGGGTCGGAAGTCGTTGCAACCAAATCCTCTCACAGAATTCCGGCCTTTTAATTAATGCGTGAGTACCTGGAGTTAAATACCCGGAGTTAAATGCCTGGAGTTAAGCCTGGTCAGTTCGTGGGGGCAGAGTTCAGTGCAAAAGCCAACAGCTGGAGGTTTCTCCTCGATATAACCGCACACACTATCCAGATCACGATAGATAAACGGGGGACTAGAATTATCTGGACATGGATACGGGGTTCAGCAACTTTATGTCTGGTCTGCGTCCAGCCATCGGCCACACACCTCTGGCGCAGAATAATTCAAGATCCAAAATTTATCCTAGTAAATTCACCAATGTCATATGCATTCATTTCTCACGATAGTTACATGTAATTACATGTAGTTCAGTAGTAGAATGTCAACTGTATTCGGCAATGAAGGAACTGCTAAATGTAGGTATGCCTTCGAATTCGTCTGGCGATGCTGTCGGATTCACCCAATATCAGCAATCAAATTTTTTGTAGCTTTACTATATAACTGATCTCACATACAAATTTTGACCCTCTCATAGGCTGTATAACCAAGGGGTGTTTGAGAAAAAATTCCCGCTTAAAGCCTTAATAGGGTCTAATGTCCAATATATTATCACCAGACATGCCAGACGTGCCCAAGGGAGCCGGACTGTGTCCGGATTATTAAATCCGGCGGCTTTCAATGCCAAGTCCTTTCTTGGCAACCTAAACACTGGATCAGCGTCCAGATAATTCTGTAGCCCGTAGATAAACCCTACGAGTCTTAATTCCGTCAAAGAGAAACTGGGGTTGGCATCTACAGGGTTATCAAAACCCTTGTCAGCAGCTATCGTTATCTTATCAGATCTCCACATACGATCATTAACGCAGGCCATCTTTAACTCCGAAAATTCCGCGTCTAACGCCTTGCGCCGTAGGCCGGCCGCATCAGAGCGAGGGCTAACATGATGTCCGCTGGATGTCTAGTCGACGGAGGAATCGTAAACTCCTGAACCCGTTAAGGCAGCTTTCCAAGGATCTCGCCGGGTCTTCTGGAAGTGACAGATGCTTAAAGAAATCATGCTATAGACTGAGGGAAGGGTATAAGAGTCCTGAAATTCCTCCTGCTGTCTAGATATTTCAATTTCATCATCAGTTAGCATCGCCAGCCAGCTTGCAATTCATTCTTGAGCTTTATAACAGTCACAATTGCAGTCCTATATTAAAACCATATCAAAAATGCCTTCAATTCTTGGTAAAGAAATTGGCGATACCGCCTATGGCCTCATGGGGTTCACCTGGCGCCCCTACCAGACCCCCGACGAAGATGCTTTCCCCGCCATGAAGGTAATTCCCATTTCCTCAAACCAATTACTTTATTGCCTTTGACCCAAAGATACTAATCC